TTTGTTCCTCTTACAATCAAGTAAGTGCTAGGTCTATTCTCGTGGCTTTCTGCAACACAAAGGTCGATTGTCGGTAGCTCTCGGCCCTGTAGAAACGGACGGCTCACAGCGAATAAACGTGGAGTGCAGAAAGGCTTTGATTGAGGCAGCCTAGCTTATTCAGGAGAATGTAAGTAAATAAGAACCTAGAAATATTGAAAAACAAGGAAATTCCAAGCGATGAGAGCACTACTCGTATTTATAACACGAAAGGCGCTCCTTGAAAGATGAATACCGCTATTGTAGAAACAAAGAAAAAAACGCTAACTGAATGCTAGGTCAATAGCCTTTCATAATTCCTGCTTCTCATGAACTAACAAAGTTGCAACTAATGTCATTGTGAACTAACAAACAATGTTGCAACTAAAGTGAATACGGAACGCTAATAACCGCTCATGAAAAATACACATGCCTAAAAGTGCACACAAATCACAAAAGATCGCCCGAAGCTGCAAGGGACTTGCCACTTTCGGAAGCCACAGAAGAGCTTCCCCTTGCTTCTTCAAGAGGATTTTATTCTCGTCTTCTACGCCGCATCTTTCCGGTGCCGCAGCCCTCGCTCGCCTCCTGCTTCTCGGCGGCTGTGTCGAGGAGCTGGGAAACGCACTAGATTAAATATCTATATTTCCTATTAAAATTGCAGAATTGGTTCTTGTATTCGTTTCTTGAGAAGTCTCGTCGATGGAATAATTTAGCAAAAATATTTTGATTTTTAAACCAAAATATTGATGGTTCTCATGTTTTGATAATCGACTGCGTTCGATAAATATTTGGTTTACTGCCTGTTGGGATATAGACCTGAATAGCATTGACGAATGTTATTGGATGTGTGGACAAAGAATTTATGCTACCATAATTGCATAATAAAACCTACCGGCGCTTTTCCTCAGTGGAACGTAAGTGTCCGGACCTGACTCAGGCAGTGTCGACGGCTCTGGAATTGAACAAGATGGGAGATCCATCCATGCCTTCCCTGCCTCCGGCGAACTTTTTTTGCTGATTAAGGGAACTAAACTTGCCTTGTTTCCTCAGGAAGCGAGCGCCCCTCAGCCCATCCCTGAAGAACGTAATCGAAGGGAAATTTTGCTCGGAGGTGTCGGAGGAAAAGACGTTCCCTTCGCCACCACGCGTGGAACATGCGTGCTAGCATGAATTATTAAGGTTCAATGAAACATTCATTTTCTTACATTAAATGAAAATTGTAAATACTTCTATGTCTTTTGAATCGCAGTGAAAAATTTTATGCTTATTCTACCGAAGGCTTTACGAACAAATGTTGATTATCCTCAATATATCATTATATTAATATATTATATATTAATATATTGATATTCTTCACTGCTCGGTATGAAATTTGCGGTAGCATAGAAATACGAGACCGCAGGAAATGGCAACCAACCTCACCACTCACTGAAGAAAATGGACCACAATATATTAATATATATTATATTAATATATTAATATATCAATATATATATCAGCCTCAATATATCAAGTAACAATGAAACAATGAGAACTACTCAGACAAAATGTTTCGGTTGCATCCATGCATGGTTTTGAATTATCGTCAGCGCTGCCGCAAAAATCCATGGATCGTTATTAAAATTCGATTGGTGAGAAAAAATCAGTACATTGTAGAAATTTCGGATGTTTTTTTCTGAAGAGGCTTCTCATTTTCACGTCACTAAATTGGAATACATTGAAAAATAATGGTTCAATGAAGAAGAGCTTTAATTATTGCCAAAAAATTCCCTTGAAAATCGTCAGACAAAAACTGAAAATATCCATATGTTGCATGCTATTATATACATGAATATTCGGCATATTCCCGATCATTCCTAGCTCTCACGATTCGATTGTTATGAGATATTACGATAGAATAAACTGTTTAAAATTAATGCGCTGTAAAGATGTAATGGGGAAAAATGCCAATAGCCAACAGTCGTAAACTTAATTTAGTTTATTTCTGCTTCATTTCAATTAAAGATTTCACAATTTAACGCTTTTGCTATAATTAATTTGATAGAGAACACCGACAGGAGCGAAAAAACCAGTGCTGTGTAAATTTAACTAATGCATATTCCCATAAAGAAAATGTGCTGAGATTCGATCTTTTAATCTCTTAAGAAAACACTAAGCTATTTAATAATTATTAAATTATTACATTAAAAATTATTATTATTATTATTTTATTTTTATTAAAATTATTATTTTTATTTTAATTATTAAAATTTAATAAACTTAAACCTAAAATAATTATATTATTATTTAGCCCCGGGTCCTCATTTGAAAGTCTTTAGGCTGAGCACCAAATCCAAACATCTTTCGTGAAGCTTACAGCGCTCTGTACTCAGGAGTAGGCTTTTAATTGAAACAATTCTCGACGTGCGCCTCAGGAGGCCCTGTGGTGTACTTCATGAGGCCACATCACGCGCTCTAGCCTCAATATCCCAGAGTTAATCTCAACTGACACGTCGGCTGTGAGCTTCCGGCGATTAACCAATTACGTCTTTATGAAACTACAGGTTTTTCGTGGAGATTTTAATGTCATTTATATCTCATTTCCTTGGGGGCTAGTTGCAAGCCTCCGGTGTCAATTCAGGGTACGTACGGTCAAATGTCAACGCCTTATTTGCTACAAAAATATTTGTTCGTAGCATGGAACTTCAATTCGGGGCATAGGTTGTGCTACGAGCTCCTGTTTGGCGTACTGAATGGTCTTCTTGAGATGCAAATGGTGAAAATTTAAATGAATTTCAACAAGAATTAGATTTCATGGAGGACTTAAGTATATTTAATCATGTCGAGGCACGCTATTCATGAAATTAAATTTCAGTATGTGCTGCAACGTCAAAGTACATCATGAGACCAAATCCATTAATCGAATTCATTCGATAGAAAAATTGTCCCAAATCCAATCAAGCTGGGACAGAGGGAAAATGTAAGCCAATGTTGTGTGTGCAGAATCATTTGTTTATCGTGAAAATTCACTGATGCTTTCAGGCAACCTACATGAATGGAAATCAAATACTGTGCCAGAAATCAAATGATGGAGTGGAAATACAGTTTTGTAATGGAAATAAAGTTATATAATGGAAATATAATGCTGTGCTAGAAATGAAATGATGGAGTGGAAATACAATTTTGTAATGGAAATAAAGTTATATAATGGAAATATAATGTTGTGATGAAAATACAATTTTGTAATGGAAATTATATATAAAGAAAATGTAATGTTGCAACGAAAATGTAATGTTGTAACCTTTGCCACTAGGAGCGTGAGACTTTTTCCGAGTTGTTGAGTATCTCGTTTTCGTCTCTACATTAATCATATGCAACATTTTCACAAAATAATTTGTTCCTGAAACTTATAAGCGGACTTGAATTGACGTGCACAATATATGCCTGTTAGAGTACTTCAGGTCGCCTCGTAATTGGGACCTTAGCATTTTTATTTCGTAATTTTCACTTCGTAATCATGACTTTGTACTGCGGACCTTTTAATGCGATCGTTTTCATGCGGAACTTTTAATTCGGACCTTTTAATGCGAAACTTTTAATATGGACCTTGTAATGCGGAACTTTTAATTCGGACCTTCTAATTCGGACCTTTTAATGCGGAATTTTTAATTCTGTCCTAATTCGGACCGTTTAATTCGGACCTTTTAATGCGGAACTTTTAATGCGGACCTTGTAGTGCGGACATTATACTCTGTCGTTGTCGTGATTCGTTCGAATACACGAACTTTGGCTGCCAATATAGTACGAAGACTGAATAATCCATGTCGAACTCGGTTGCAAGCATCGATCGCGCATTGCTTGCGTACATGACCACCGCCCAGTCCTCACCACCTGATCTTTTATTTACTACATAAGTTCTTACACGCACGCATCCACTGACCTATGGCATATCTGCGTTTACTGAAACCCGTGCTTGAGCTTGCATTGATTATTATATAATAATAATAATAATAGCAGTTTCAGCGTTATTAGGCCGTGGGCCTGTCGCCGATTCTTAACATCGCTCGCAGAACATTCACAGCATTTTGCGGTCTCGAACTCGCAACTCACTGCTACAATTCTGCTGTGCTTAACCGCCCGGCCTCCTTGCCGATTCTGACCAGAAACTGGCGCACAGAGCTGGGATTGAACCCGCGCCTCTCTGCGCCAATCTTGGTACTCTGAACTTTAACCACTGGGCCACCCTGAAGACCTTATTGAAGATCTTTTATGTTCCATGCGATCCAATCTGATCTTTCGGTCGTGCATTTTTTTCCATTTGGTGAATCATTAGTCAGGATCATCAAAATAATGCGAGCGACCGGAGTGAGACTCGAAACCCACGAGAAAAAATACTCATTAATTTCCAGTCCTCGTCATCAAACCTACTAGCTTCGTAAAATTTCATTTAATGCCTCAAATTTCGTGCAGAAATGCTGAGCGTCAAATTCTAATCCTAACGACGAATTTGAACAAAAAACAAACAATTTATCCGAAAGACTCTGTGATTACATCGTTTGCGACTCGTAATAGTTGTAATGACAATGTAAATAGTCGTAATTATTATACAGACTGAATAATACGCTTCCTACCAGTCACCTAATGTGGTATAGTTTTTCTTCACTGTTACTATGCAACATTGCTTCCTCATGTGTCTAACAGAATGGACCTATTTTTTTAAATTCCTGATGTTGCAGCTCGAAACGATAGTCTACCGTTTGTTATGCCAGTAACCTGGTAATATATTTCCTCAGCTATCGAATTTTCAGATATTGTTTTTCTCATCAAGGGAGCCGAAGCGTCTCATTCTTCTTGCGTGGGGATATTTTCTTGCACAGCCTCCGTGGAATATTAGGTTTCGCGCCCAGGATGATACATCCTCTACCTGTCACAATGAGGGCATCGCTTTTATTGCCTGTCGTGTAGGCCACTGCCATGCTTACGTTTTGGTCGGTTGCAGGATGGCTGGTAAGACGTACAATCATCGCTACCGCGGCCTCTGGAACGCGCCTCCCCGGTGCCGGTGTAATGGCTACTGCCCACTTTTCACGTGAGTAACTTAAGTGCTAAAAATTAATCTTATGCTCCCTCGTCTCGCATCAACCTTTATCTAAATTCTGACATATAATTTAAATCAATATAAAGCATACAAATATTGATTATTATTCCAGGATATAACCATAGAGTACGTACAGTATGTGTCCGCATTTATATAGTTATTATAAACCTTTTATCTCGCAAACAACCTTATCGAAGTATTTAGTCTTTTACCATTCAGTTGAAAAAAGGATCATTGCAGTTAAAAATTGAATAAAATTCGAGGAAATTCAAGTTTACTCATCAGTGAGTGGAATGTATTGCGTCACATCGCGACTCAAGTCGAGGCAGCATAAAGCTACCGTTCACAGCGTCAGCGCTCGAGTAGTGATTGATGAAACACAAGGCCTGACAATAAGCGTTTTCATGCCGAATGCTTGCAATATATTTCTCCTTATAATTAATGCTGAACAGGACTTCGGTATGGCCAAAAGCATGGATCTTTTTTTGCGTGTATCCCTTTGTGTATTTTTTTTAGCGAGCTCAGGAGTTCAATATTGCTGACTCGAATAACTGCGATGTCATATCTCGATGATGGCAGGGTTTTTTTTAATATATACAACCCGAATAACTACACTTTCATATCTTGCAAAGGGAGACTTTCTGAATACATGTGCCTGTAATGTCGGAAGCACTGCCGAAAATAAGAAAATTGCTTCAGAATTTACGGATATTAATTCCACGCTGCGCGTCTAAATATTCGAAAAACGAAAAAATCAACAAGTAGCTTTCAGGCAGTGGTGCACAAATCCTAGGGCGGCTAGATTGGGTTAGCTGATAGTGCATGAGAGAATCTCATGCCTGTCTGGGTGGAGTTCCCAACAGACAACGCCGAACTAATTCTATGGAAGGGTAAAAATAACTAGCAGATAACGCTGAGCTATAGCTTTGAAAATAATGAAACACTCTTGAAAAAAATCAATTAACATAACACATCATATTGATCTCGGCGCTGAAGTGGCCTGTCGCCGATTCTTTTCCTTTTCGTGCCTTGTCCGCAGAAGATCTAATAGCGTGTCATTTGACCTGTTCAGTTCATGACAGACGATAGTTTGAAATAGCTACTCGACTTCAGCCGGGTTCGATATGGCGCTAGGCATTTCAGGTCTAAACATATATTTTTCCATAGCATAGCCTGAAAATTTTATAAGGCAGGATCCATGGAATGAATGCGTTTTGCCCTCAGGTTCGCAGGAGGAGTGGCGTTCATCACTGTGGGCTCCGTGCTGCTCTGTGTCATCACACGTAACCCTGTTAACGGCCGCCACAAACTACACACGCCACCCTTGGCTGTCGCGTTCACATTCGTCGTCTTGGGTACGGTGCTTGTCTTGACGAGCGTCATTTATTGCTTGAGGTAAGTGCATTTAGTTGTTGTAATTGCCCATCCTGGTAGTGGCGACTAGGTAAGGGAGGGGGTGATAGGTCAGTTTTTCCGGGCACTTTCATGCCGCTGGTAGTTCCACGACCATCATTGGCTCGTTGACCCGCCAGAACCATTTTATTGTATTACAAAACACCCTGGACAAGCCAGGTACTCATTTATCAACCAGAGTTGGATGAATGGCTGAGTTGACCATGAGCTGAGCTTCTCGCAAGAACTTGTCCTCAGTGGGACTCGAATCCGAGAGCTGGGTGCGAGAGACGGAGTCTCTCACCACTGCACCACCGCAGCTGGATTTAGTGCATGGGTTCGCCGTATCGTAGATTGCTTCTGAACTAGAATTAATCGCATTTTAGTAAATTCTAAAATTTAATAGGATATCAAATCCCAAATTTAGGGGTGTGAATTATTTTGCTTATTTTAAAGAAAGAAGTGTAGTGACTTTAGCACTCCTTTTGAAAACAAGCTGGTAATTTTGGAGTGTTGGTAATTTTTACCTGTAACTGAATCCACCGTTCATATTCAGTGTAATAATCAAAGATCGCATTCTTGGTTTTGGATGTACCGCTATCACCCTTTTTCCAGACCAAGACGAGAATGTTTTTGGACTAATTCCGCATAATCTTGATGAAACAAGACGGTGCAATTTTCCGACTGGCGGGTTATTTCGCAATTTTCTGTCAAGCCAGCGTTTTCAGTTACCGAACATGAGCGAGTTTCCTTTCCTTGGCTTCAAAGCACAAAAAACACATTTAATTGAACTATCACTATTGGATTAAGATTTACTATATGGATGTCGCGACGCAAATCCATGAGATAAACTCTGTTAAATTTTTGAAGCTTCCACCAGTCATCTCGACGATGATTGGGTGCGAAGTCAATTAGCTAGAAATAGTTCTAGTGTTGCGCTGTTCTATGATTCCTGTAAAAGAAGTGCGTTCAATAAGTTATTTAGTTTAGTGGCCACATGTTTACTAGCGCTTCAGCTCTTTAGCGGTCTCGCACCGAAAGGCAAGATGAACTGTGTCATTAAAACTGGAAAATGATACTAAATTAATTTTCACCGCACTTAATAATAATAAAAAATTCATGTTTGAATTTAATTCAAAGTTCTCATTCATTATGCAGAATTGGCTGGGAAGAATACATGCGGAACGAAGACGAGTTGGAGAAGCTTTGTCCAGATCCCGCTTGTGAAGAGTCCTTTGATGAGGAACGTCATCGCAGTTCGCTGCCGCGCATGATGTCACATTCGTCGTGGGTGGAAAAGACCTATTATGATGCCGAGCCCCCAAATTACACAGAGTGCAATTCCGACCAATATTCTGGACGCCAAATAAGTCTGTGCCGAAGTAGTGATTGTAGAAACCGTCCATATTTCCCACGTGAAGATATCGTTAACAATTGTTATGCAGAGGTAGGTCAAAATAACAGGCCAGAGGGTAACAATTTCACGTCGTATGAAATGAAGGAACATCTACAGAATAATGTGATAAATAGCGAGGTCATTAAGGCATCAAATCAAGTTGACCAAAACTCGGGCAAAAGCGTCCACATTGACAGCTTAAATGGAGATCTAACGAATGAACACCAAACCGGAAAAAAGGAGAGATCTTTCCATATAGCAAAAAATATTAATCTAAATAACCTCGGTAATAGAAGTTCCAATTTCCAATCGTTCAAGATTCTGTACAAAATGCCCATTGCATCCGAGTTGAGCATTAAATCAACTACTCAAAAATCTCCAGTCCATAACAGTGAAAAAAGCATTGGGGAGTTTATAACATTCAGCGAGGAAGAGGAACTCAAATTCTATCCAAATACATGCCCGCCGAAAGATGTAAACGGAACATGCCACGCAGGCAATGGCTGCTCGAGGGTTTACAGTGAGAAATATTGCCAGAGACCGGCAGGAGAAACTTCGCATCTTCGACCTTACACTGAGTTAACTCATCCTTTAACACTTGTCAGTTCTAATCGCTGTACGTGTTCCACCTTTGTAGGCACGAACCTTGCAAAAGGATTGAGCAGCGCAACGGCTGTCCAGTTAAACAAGCCAGGTTACAAAAGTATAGCCAGAAATTGTAGTGGTCCATCAACACCAAAAATGCCGAGGATCTGTACACGGAGTTCGTTTGAACCTTTAAAGACGCTCAACTCCTTCGTTATCTCCAGCGACAACGAGTGCAGTGTTATCCTGACTTCTAATGCTCGAGACAATCAAATATGAGGATTAAGGGAAATTATATAAACTTATTGTATTTAGTGATTTTCCATGGAATGATTCTGCCAAGTAAGAATTCTGTAAGACGATACAGCTTCAATGACAATCAAATTTGTGCTTCCAGACTGTATTATTATGCTCTATATCATCGTCTAAAAAATTCGTTAGACATTTCTACGAAAATTTTTTAAGCGAATGGAGAGTACAGAATATAACATTGTAAGAGTTTGTTTCTGCACATTATGGTTACAAAATAATTGACTCTTTCCTATTATATTCTTCGAATGTACCCCCAAAGTGGTGTTCTTTTCAGCAATTCAATCGTACATTATTGAATCAATAGTTTATTTGTACACTGAATTCAATTCAGGAGCGTTCGGCGGAGACAAGGCAAGTAAGAGTTCACTGTTTCACATCAGCACAACTAATGGAAATCATTGTCGGGTAACGCAAATAATACCATAGAAGAAGATCTATTGATATGTACTAATTTGATCTGTACTTTTATTACAGTTTCTACGTAATAAAACAGTAACGAATTTCCATTTGTTAAACGAAAAAATGTATCAATGCTACACCACACACAGCTACGCCTCCATAATAATTAAATTTAACGAGCATTGAATATCATCCTGATATGTACGCTTCAATATTGAAAAAAATAATAATAAATTCAAAACAATTAGACGAGAAAGAATAGATTATGGTTATTGGCAACTGCATTTCCTATTTGCAATTCAATATCAAATCAGTCAGAGCATGTTAAGATTAATTAATGTACGAGTACATTATGCAAAGATTGCAGTAAATGAATGAGAAAGAAACTATAAATTAAGGATAGTAATACGAAACTAAAGCTACGTTATTGTGCGAACAATTGTTCAATAATTGGAGTTAATAGCGTGACAACAACAGTCACCACAGGAGTACAAAGCTAGAAAAATAACGCTTAACCTACGCAATCATCCGCGCGCGATCGGGCACTGAAGTTGGTCAGCTATTCTCGTTGTCGCAAATAGTGAAAGAACGATTCTAATACTTCAGAATATTCGAGCGTTGACAGGACGGCAGCCAGTGCTGCCTTCTTTCTCTCAGGAGGTAGAGCGCGCATCCAAGATACCAGCTGTTCTTCGCTGAGGTCAGAGCTTGGAGTCGCAATGGGCGTCGTAGCACCTACAGAAACGAAATATGAAAGAAACATTTTTACAAGCCATTCCTAAACTTAAAAATTAAGATCGAATAAATAAGTATGAACACAATTCGTGGGATATCAGAACAATAATCTTAAATACTTTAAAGAAAAAAATTTGAGGTACCCTCAAACTTGGCAATTAAAGAATGTAGGATGTAAATCGCTAGCAAGACAAATTAGAGCAAGCTAGTACCTGAATTATTAATTGGAGTACTTTCGGCGATGGTTCCAGCAGACGAGTCTTGAGTTACGTCCTCGTTGAGGTCAGGCGAGGCCTCCTCGTTCTCTTCGTCAGACGGGACGTCGAGACCGATGGGGAGCTCTGCAAGCACCTGCCTCGGTCCCTCACTGCGGTCCTGACGCGCCAACGAGACGGGGTCTCGCCACTTGGAAACCGACACTGCACTTCGCCTGCAATCGAGAGGTGAACTTGTAATTAGGGACTGAGGTGTACGTGTCAGTATGGAGTAACTATTAAAGAAACGAATTTCGATTAAAATGGGTAGCATTTTTCTCCAAGAATACCCAAAAGTAGAAAATTAAAACTCATATAGGAATTACGTTCCTTTTTACTGCACCTTAGTAATTAGAATAAGCAAGAAAGTGCAGGATCAAACCGTATAAATATCGAAAGTTGTGAAGCGACACACAACATGGCTCCAAATACCAGCACTAGCAATGAATACAACAAAAACAGATAACCATATAAAAAAGTACAAAACTATATCCTTACCCCAGACTACTGTCAGAAGATGTTTCATTTTGAGATGATTTTCGCTCAGGAGATGAATTCTCTTTATCGCTGTTTTCACCCTGGGTCTCAGCTAAGGCAGTTGAATCAACATGGACAGTTTCAGTTCCCGACAGCATTGCATCATCCTCAGAATCCATATCCATTGTGACCACTTTATTTTCCATTTTATCACTCGTCTCTTCAGTTTCCATATTCGAATCCACTAAGGGACCAGTTTCGCTATTAGAGAGGACAACATCCTCTTCCCTCGACTGTCTATCACTCAAAGTAATAATAGGGTCAGTAGTTGGATCAACACCAAATGATTTTTCACTATTTAATTCTTGATCATCGACTTGATCATCTCTGATGGCTGAATCACCATAATTGTGAGTGGCAGATTCATCGCTAGAACGAGATGTTATTTCAACTCCGTCTCTTGTAGGTACATACTCCTTATTCAGAGTGGAAGTTTCATTCAATTTTCCAAGTGTATTATCCTCGTTCTCAGTAACAGGATCTTCAACAGCCATTGCTGCAGCAGAAGGCCCCTCTCCTGTGAGCCCCCAAAGTTCAGACTCGCTCGACTCCCTCTCTGGACGTTCTGCCGGCTCCTCCAGCAGCACTTTGCCACTTTCAACACTGACGAAAAATAATTTTTTTGGCATGTAAACAACAAAATTCAAATCAAAGTGAGAGCTAAACTCGAAGCAATAATTCAGAAAATCTATTAAAGACCAACATGGAAGTAAAAAATCACGTTTAAACATTGACAAGTTAACTTTTATAAAGTAGAACTAGTAAGTACACCCAAAGCAAGGGGCACGCCAAACTCAAGACCGTGAGAAGGCAGTCTGGAAGAAATTGATGTTTTGTTGTAATTTAGTCAAGTTCGTAATTCAACCTAGTGCCATTTTATACAGTTGTGAGATGGAAATCTTGCCAAATGGAGGCAACAAATGAAATAAGAAACCAAGATCTGGCAACCACCAATGCAATAGACCAATAAAAATCGCAAAAAAAGTACTCGATACAATAAGATCGCCGATATAATTTAATTGAACATCAACAAATGGAAATTAGTACGCAAAGGAAATGATACGCATATATAAACAACTAAAATCACAATTTAAAATGATACAAATAAAATTTTAATTCCAAGTGATAAGTAATAATGATTGAATCCATCAGTATAATGACCTCAAAAAAATTAATACTATCTGCTTCCTTAAATGTCAGTCTAGTGATTAGATAACACAAAAAGTTCAAATAGCAAATTTTTCTTGAAGCTACAAAGAAAGAGTTCAGATTAATATAACTTATAAACAGAACTTCATAGCTAATAATTCCAGACGCAACTTTACTTGACAATACCAAGTCTGTTCACTGAGTACCTGGCATTCTGCTCGAAGAGCTTGAGAGCGGCGACGGTGTTCTGGAGCTTGGGGGGCTTGATGGGCAGGGAGGTAAGGTCGCCCTCCGTCAGGCTGGCGACGTGTCCTACGCTCGTGAGGCCGCGGTGTCGCAGCACCGCCTCAAGGGAGCAGATGAGGGAGGGGCTGGTGAGGTATGGCAGGAGACATGCTAGAGGCGCTGAGCATCCAGCAAGGCTGCTGTAGATGCCCTGACTGCAGCTCATCGCTGACAGGTCGTCGTCTTCTTCTTCCTCATCAAGCTTGGTGTCACCGCCGTTCTCCACCAGCAGCGCCAAGGCTGATGAAATAGAATTGAACCGAGGTTTTAAAAGGAATATGCACTACAAATAGCAAAATAATGATAACAGTGAAAATATAATTAGTAAACAAATACATTCAAGTAAATTTTGTCAAGCTCTTTTCATGGGTAATTATTACACTTCAGACCGTTCGATTGGATGGAGAACATTTTGAAAAATATTGTAGCCTCAGTTCTCATCAAATATTTTACTATTCCTTGAAAGATTTAATTTATATATAACTAAAATCCATTACAAATTGGAAATTACAGATTTGACGAATCTTTGACATGTTAAAAACATTTTCGAATACGATAGGACACATTTTCTATGAACAATTGAATACAAGTAGACAAATGTGAGAAGAACTTCGTATTTGCTAGGTAATTTTGCAGGCGTTTGGGAAAAATTTATGTTGCACAAAAGTTAATATCTTCCATTATAATTATATGAAGAAAAAATCAAAATGCCGATGATTCATACATTTGTCAATTTTCCCAGCAACATGCTGGGAGCCAAGATACAGTTGTAACTGGGAAATTTCAACACAAATACGAGCTCACATTTTTGAGAAGGCAGTTGTGGTAAGGTTGAAGGGTGAACGATTTTGGTAAGTTTGGAAGGCCCGATTTGAACAACAGCAGATAAGGAGGCAGCGCGGCTCATATCCAAGCGTTTCTGAGCTCGCACACTCAGCGGCACTTTGCTCTCGTTGGTGGGGGCCTCTGAGACGCGCGGACTGCTGCTGTGGTCCCTGGACTCGTCCTTGTGGATCACAACGCTGTCTGACACAGGCGGGTCGGCGAAGCTCACACGCCGGCCTTTCGTCCCGGCTGAATAAAAGGTGAATATTAACTATAGAAAATTCCAATTATTCACATAGTCTACTTCAGTAATATTCATTGCATTTTAACTTGTCGTCCTGGCTGAATAAAAAGGTGAATATTAACAAACAAAAATTTCAATTATTCACATAGTCTACTTCTGTAAATCACACGCCGGCCTTCCGTCCCGGCTGAATAAAAGGTGAATATCAACTATAAAAATTCCAATTATTCACATAGTTAACTTCTGTAATATTCATTGCATTTTAACTTGATTAGGTACTAGTCAGTGAAAACGTAAATGGAAAAAATTAATCGTTTTCATGGCCAAGGACATCAAAAATCAACTTCATGAAACACGATGCGATGCACGAAAGAACAAATAAGCTGCACAAATAACCTGAGGTTTTTATACAAGATTCAGTGTACGCAATAAGTTCACAAAATTCAAGATAATTTGTATGTTTATAACTCACAATCTGTGAGAGGTTTCTTGAGGATGCTGCCACCAGGCGACGCCGCGGGTGAAGGTCTGTGCCGCGGCCACAGACGTTCGCTGTGCGGCCTGTGAACAAGATAACAAATTAAACATCAAGATTTTAGCAATGAATTCAATTTAAAGTACATGGTTCTGCTATCTCTAGGGCATAGATAGACAATTAGAATATTAGGATTGTGGAACAGGTATGGTTTGCATTAACTTATTTCATTGAGGAAGCCTGAGCTTTCAAGCTTCAATTCATAAACGGTACTTCAATCAAATAGCGAAAAGTTGTAAGAACTGATGATAGAGCAGGCCATCCGTACATTTTAATTGAAAATATGATGAATGATTTCGACGAATGTTTCCTTTTGATTGTGATTAACAGCTAATCTTTATGACCTCAGATGCTGACAGAACACAAGCACTTCGCTGTGAGGATATTTTACCGCTAGACCATAGAGGCAATTCCAGGCACTTACTTAACAGATTATGGGATATATTTTTAAGGTATCAACATGGACCGTGTTTTATGAACACATGAATGCTACAAACGTGCAATTGGCCTAGTTCGAACCGTTCATACGAAATAAGAAAAGAAGGGATAGATAGATAAAATTACCATACAACGAGTCTCAAATTCTCTCTCGAGACGAACTATGCTTGTTTGCCAATCTGTTGCATGTACATACGTGACAGTGAGCTGCAGTCTCTTGCCGGTGGGAGGTGTGAACTGGGCAGATGTGTGGACCGCCTCAGACAGGTCACGAATAGGAGGCGAACATTCATCTGTTACATAATACATGTGAAGTTAATGAATATCGTAACCGTATTTGCCGTACTTCATACTGCATGGAAAACCATCAATAGTTGCCATTTGTTTCTGTCTTGAAAATATACCAAAGAAAACGAGTGAAGTTCCTTTCAAGTTTTACCTCAAATCAATATAGTAGCAACAAATCTCAAGTCCAACAAGGCTCTAGCGCAACAAATGATCTGCGGCTGCGTAATCTTTCAAAAAGACTTGCCTGACGATGAGCCGATGATCATTTTCCTAGCAGGTGTTGCAGAAGTGACGGGAGAAGAAGCGTGTCTATTACGCTGGGCACAAGCGACCATCAGTGCCGCCCGAGACCGCGACCCGCCGCTCAGTGAACGAACGTTAACATTACGGCGCCTCTCGCTTGTCACTTCAGTGGACCTGCACCGCTTGTTGGTCCGAGTGACGGAACTCGGTGATGCTGGTAATGTCTTTGAAGCTGAATTTATGAGCTCCAGAGCATCCGGTGAACTTCTGTCATCAGGTTTGACTGATGTAGGAGGATCAATAGGTTTATCCGCATCGACTTCTGTCTCAGCAGTAGCCACGTGACAATCTAAGGTATTTTGTGGCTCCACTCGTAACTCTGCGCTTGGTTCATCCGTTTGTGACTTAGTATAATTTGTGGCAATTGAACATTCTTCAGTATTATCTTTAGGAATGTCACCGTCACTAGAGTGCAGCATTGGAGATTCCAACTCCGTAAGCTTGGTTTCTACAAAGGCGTTGATGTTGTGGTCCTTGCCAGTCGTTCTCTCGTCAGATGTTGAAGCCTCTTCGCCCAATTTGCACTCCGAGGTTTTTTGAGTAGATGAATCTAGTTTCCGTAGGTCTTTCTCTGTTGACGCAGGACCCTCTCCCTCCTGTACACAAAGTTCCATAGATTCTTCTAATGTTTCTTTGCCACCTGCCGAAGATTGATGACTATTCAAATTGATTATGGCTCCTTGTTCTCGGAATAATTCGTGATCAACATCCTTTTCCTTGGGAGTAATGTTGGATTTTTGCTCGCTCACAAATGTCTCACTAGGCTTAGAAATGTCACCTATTTCCTGAGACTCTGGAACTTTCTTACGAGATGCGTTAATTTTTTCGTTATCAAATGCGTTGTCACTCTCATCACTGGGCTCCGACCTAGCGCTGTTAGCACGGGTACTTCGGTGAGAGCCACGAGATCTTGAACTTCTCAGTTTGTTTTGATCATTTACTCCTACAGTGTTTTTGACTGAGTCAGTTAGACTGCGAGTATTTCTTCGTTTTGCTGGGGAATCATCGTTAGTATTTTCATGCATTCGAAGACGCTTACTTCCACGCTTGCCGACTGCCGGCTGGATATTAGAAGCGCTCATATCGTTTTCTTCACTGGTGCTTTTTGTGAGAACAGGGTTCTCGACTGCAGCATCACAAACCAATGAACTCTGACTCGAGTCTTTGTCTGACGTTTCCATCGAAGATGACAGGAACGATGACGAATCTGAATTACTTGAGGGGTTATCACAAGATGCCTCCGTGATAGTTGGATTTTTATCGGGAGATTTACCTAAAATGACGGACGTAGAGTCGTCACGAGAAAGTTTAGGCACTGAAATTTCTTTTATGCTCGAGATCGTTGCGTCAATTTTGTCTCCGGACTTGAGTCGTTTACTAGAGAGGGTTTCATCATCAGAGTCAAGCACAGACGAAGATTCTTCCGACTGAACTCCATAACCTTGGTCAGAACTTTCTATCGGCTTTACTAAGCGTCCCCGTTTACTTCTTACAGCTAGAGAATTCTGCAATTCATTAACGGATTTTCTCACTCGTTTACTTCTCGTTCTACTTGCGGAGGCACTAGCAGAACTTTGGTTGTCAGATGTAACAGGACGATCAGAGTCATTTGATCTCTCAATCATTTCAGAGTTAATTTCCTCATCATCAATTAATTTTTCCCTTACCTGCTCTTCAACTTCATGACTTGGTTTTATCCGCTCTTCGAGAGCAAATGCATCAATTACTTCAGACGGGACACTAGTTGCGTTAATAACCTCTGGATCCTGATTCTTGTCATTGTTCAATGATGCCTCCGATAGGACATCATTATCATTAGATTTTTCATTTGCCAGCCCAGAATGCATTTCATCTATCAAAATGGCTGTCGGAACAGGTTTAGTTTGAAGCTCGTTGTTTGGCTTGGAACAATTTGTCTTGTTTTTGGGGTCTATTGCAGAACTTTTACCTCCAACATCCTGATGTTGAGTAAGTTCTGCAAAGGCGACCTCAGACGCACTGGCTACAGATCTGCGGGAATAGCTTTTGGGGTTCCTAGTTTCTGTCGTAAGAGTGAGTTCTTTCCCATTTTCCACTTCACTAATCACTCGAGAATCAGTTGAAGGACTTGCAGCTTTCCGATCACTCAAGCTCGCAAACACATCAGTTATTTTCTTTTGAATGTTTTTCACGGGTACAGACTTCTTCAGACTGTTGTCGTCATGACTTTTTAAGCTTCTTGTTTGCTGAGCAGTATTGGCTTCATCTGATTTTTCATTATCGGCAGATACATCGAGCGTAGCCCCAACAGTTTTCGCCGAGGTAGATGGAGCAAGAGGTCCCATCTTTACAACAGCATATTTCTTACTGCACGATGTAAGACCCGGAGGAGTCATCGGCTCTGGCATATCTTTCTTGGGCGGCACTATTTTCCGACCAGATCGCGTTATTTTACTAGGTGTAGCTTTCTTCTCACAGGGAATGTCCTTCAATTTTGAAGGCGTTGAACGTAGGTTTAATGGGCAGACCTTGCTCTGTATTTGAACACTCAAATCACGAGAGGATGTACATGCATCAATATTTTCAACTTCATTTACCTCACTGTTGTCAGTTGGTGGCGGCAATTCATCGTTCACAGAATCCTTACGGTCATCAAGAAGTTTATTTGGAGTGATAGATTTAGAGGAATATCTGGTTAGAGTTGCATGTTCGTCCGAGGATTTGATCGACTTGCGCTGCGAAGTCCGAGTGCTGCCAGGAACAAGAGGTTCCACTCCGTCGATGCTGGACGTGATTTTTGGACTGCACCTGAAGCTTCCCAATGCCTGGCTGGCTAAGCCGCTGAAAATGCTCTTTCTTTTTATTTGGTCATCAATCTCCCCAGCTTGAGAGTCAGGAATTTCGTCATCGGAATCGGAGTTTTCACACCCATTCCTTATTTCACTCTCGTTGGAGCTCCTGTTAATTATAGAGCCAACATTGTCGATTCTTTCCGTTTCAGACAACGCAGAATTACCATTTTTCAACGTAGATAACTTCTTTTTATCTTCTGTTGGCAAAGAAGTTTCCTTATCCTCAAGCTTGCTAAAAATCTCAAGTAAATTTATTCCAGAAGAAGTAGGTAGATTCTTAGGATCTTCCACGGGAGCAATCTCTTTCGGCTGGTCAACCGTTGTTTCTTCTTTCTTTGCCTCTGTTTCCAATGTATTTTTCGTGGAGTCACGCTCTTCAGTAGCAAAGCAGCTCTGTGATTCATTATCCTTGCTTGAACTGTTGAATCTACAACGAGAAAATTCTTAACAAATGAGGATACTGAGAGATAGCGTTGCGCCCCTAAACATTCGTCAGATATATAAACATCGAAACTGAGAAAGGAAAGTGAACACAATTAAAATTATTGACCGCAAATTGCCATGATGGTCATAGGAACATGAAATGCGGTCTACAACAAAAATACCAAATTAAATGACCGCAAGTTGCCAGGATGGTCATAGGAACATGAAATAATGAATTAGCAAGCACATACGTAGGGTCGAGGAAGGACTGTGAGGCTTGCTGCGACAGGTCGCTGTAGAGCGCCGGGATGTCGCAGCGCCGTTCCTGCAGCTTCTCGCGCTGGTGGGGCGTCAAGATGCGCTTACGCCCTCCTACAGGAGAGTTGATTGCCACGAATTCCTGCATCAGATACTTACAGTTATTATACAGACATGTTATATTTATATAGTATACTGTAAAATGGGGTAACTTAGACCACTTTTTTTATAAATGATGCCATTTTTTTACTAGCTAAATTAAACTTGAATTGAAACATGCAAAATACAGGTCTATACTCTAGCTTCACTCACCATAAATTGCTGGCTCCTGCCTCTCATAGTCTTCATGTAATTTAAAAAAAAGTGATGGTCTATGTTACCCCAGCTCTTGGGGTAACTTAGACCGGGTGGTAAAATCAATTATATTTTTTGGTAAAATAACTCCAGGTTTTGTTGCATTGTAGTAGAACTCTTCTAGTTACATATGCAAATGACAAACTTGAGGAAAGTGTCATAGTTTGCAAATGGGGGGCGCCGCCTCATAATGGGGGAAATGTGACTACCTAATGGCAGCCCTGATGGGGTAATATTGACTGGCTTGGAAATTAAGTTAAAATTACCATATATAAGACTCTGTAGAGTCTGAAACATAAAGAAAAAACATAAATAGGCTGTCAAACATAAAATATGTTATATATGGTAATTTTATATTAACTTCCAAGCCGGTCTATGTTACCCCGTCAGGGCTGACATTAGGTGGTCTAAGTTACCCCATTTGGGGGCAGCGCCCCCCATTTGCAAACTATGACACTTTCCTAAAATTTGTCATTTGCATATGTAACTAGAAGAGTTCTACTACAATGCATCAAAACCTGGAGTTATTTAATCAAAAATAAAAAAATTGGAGGGGGTACTCTGACAGGCATTAAATAATAGCTTTTTTCCGTGGGTCACATTTTTAATTTTTTAACCTATTACATATGCAAACTTTTTAAATCTTTCTATTGTGTTATGTAGCCTCAGTATTAGGCCTTTAATGCCCATTGACAAAATTTTTCTATGTCAAATAGTTTTTGTGTTGTGGGGGTTTTTGTTAAAAAAACAAAAAGTGGTCTAAGTTACCCCGCCGGTCTAAGTTACCCCATTTTACGGTACAGACATGTTAGTTTTACACGTTACGTGGGCTCCAAAAAATCAGTAATTGCCAACGTTTCCGATTAGTGCAGCGATTCAACTAGCACAAATGCTTTCTAATTTCAGGCGTTTCATGCGCTGATCAAGGGACATGCTAAGAAATTGAAACGTGAAAAAATCCCTTAATGAGAGAGTCAAGACATGCTTTCGTCATATTCTATTTTCTCGTAACCGTAATTAGCCAGGGGCCATACTTTCAAAACTCGCTAAGTGAACGTAAGTACTTATGCTCTATTTTCTTGTCTATGATTGGTGGATTTTGCTTGAAAGGCCGTCAATGATTGGCTGATGAACTTACGATCTCGTAACTTTTTTTGAAAGTATGGGCCCAGGTATAGGTCAGGCAGTCAAAAATATACTATGTAACAGAGAATTTGACAAGTAATGAAATGTTTCAAATACACTCATCTGAAGTTGAAGTGTGGAAATTCAAAATTTATTTATTTAACTACAAATTAATCAAAAACATGCAGGAAAATAACTTACGTTCTAAAATTAATCTGAGGGAAACCAGGTGAACTGTAATATGGATTTCTACTAACCACATCATCATCATCCAAGGGTAATATAGCAGTAGACTTCTTTTCTATGAGCGTGTTGAGGCGGGCAGATGGAGCCGCCATTTTTCTTGCTGGAGAATAGACTTTAGGCGACGGCTTCCCAAAAGAAGCGATTGCTGAATGCCTCTTCCCTTTAGGCGTGGTAGCGGGAGATCCAACATCAGCAGCTCTTGATTGAGGCAACAGGCTTTCAGAAACTGGAAAGAGAGCAGGTTTTACTAAATGGGGTAGGAAGAAGGCTTATTGTGCTCTCGACGTGTGAGAAAATTTATGTTCATATTCCCTTAACAGGCTTTCAGAAACTGGAAAGAGAGCAGCTTTTACTAAATCAGCTAGAAAGAAGGCTTATTGTACTCTTGACGTGCGAGAAAACTTATGTTCATGTTCCCTTAATGAGTGAGCAGTATCGTAAATACAGCGTATGAAACACCATTGACATAGGAGCATAATCATGCAGAAGAGTTCAAAGATAAGAAGTAACTCGCTTTTTGATAACGCCATGGGCAGATATAATAGGATGAAAGGCACCTAGTTGTGAGAACACTTGTACTCGTCAACACCATCGAGCTTACCTCTGCAGTTTAAGTTTTAAAGTATTTATTCAGCATCATTCGTCTTATTTCCTATGCATTCACTTTACCTCTCGTGGGTAGGGACAAGTTCTGGCGAGCGGCGATCTTGTTAGTCTCTGCCACCAGATTTTCAGGGAGCGCCTTCTTGTCGCTGTTGTTCCACAGCCTAAATATTTTCTGGACTATGGCCGTGTGTGTTGATTCCAATGCTTTCTGTAATATGCCCATATTTCTCAATTACTTTTCAACGATACGTGGCACAAATGAATAGTAAAAAAAATCATAACTACCTCAGTTTTAATTTTCATTCTACAGCAAAGGTGAATTGCCTTTAGAAATAGCTACTAGATAGGTAATGCTATATAATTGTAAGGATAATTCAGTTCAAGAGGCCAATAACCAGAAAAATACAACATGTAATTTATAAAAATTTACAGCTATAAAAGAAAGAGATTTGCTTGAGCACAGCAAAAAGGCACAAAATAAGAATGAAGAGGTAATGTAGCGTTGTACGATCCATTCATATAACTTCCAAATTGCACAAAAATCAAAATTTCAAAATTTTAATATTATATCTGTTATAGTAAGTTTAAAAAAAATATTTATTTATTGCTCACCAACGTCAAGAAACAAATCATGAATGACTCGTTCTTATCACCGTTTAGCAAATGCTGGTCAAGTGAAGGAAGCTTTAAGTAGCTTTGCTTCTCTTCAATGCCTTAACAGACACAATGAAGCTACATGCACAAGGAACAACTCGACGGCCATCAACTAACCTGTACCAGAGGTACCACTTTCGAAGCATCAGCGGAGCTCAGGACTCGGTGTTCCTCGATGAGAGTGCAGTACATCTCGAACGCCTTGATGATCTCCAGCGCGATCTCATGTCCGTACCGCACGCTTGGATTAACCTGTAACACAACAAAAAGTGAAGATATGTCAGCAAAAGGGCATAGCAGTAAAAAAATATAACTCAGTACTCACTGCAGTGAGTGACAGAGTGCGCATTTTCTCGTGCGTCCGTGACGTGAAGTCACGTACGGACATAACGAGCACAAAAGCACCATTTTTCCCATAAATGAAAAAATGCGCTAAAAACGAGTTAACGATCGTTCTTGGCAGATCAATTATCCCTTAAAGAGAATTTGGCAGAGAATTTTGATGATATATTAGTGGCTCAGAACTGAGTTAAACGCAGCAGCAATGTTTGAAATGACGTGCACCACTGACCGCAACAATGTCAGTGAAGGTACCGAGGAGAGCAACAAGCAGGGCGACGATGAGTTTAGCTTGCTTGGGGCCGCCCAGCAGAGCGCTGAGAGCTGCAGTGAGGTGGCGAGCAGTAGCTTGTCTTTGCTGGCCGACCATACGCAGTACGCGCGCCGACAACTCCACCACAACAGCGGTTAGCCCCTCCAGTTCTTGTAGATTGTGTGCCTTCTTGCGACCACCGGGCCCATCTGATGTGTTCAAAGTCATTAGCGTTAAGTGGACCAAAGCGATGAGGCGGGAGAAAGGTAATGAGAAGAGACTGAACTCGGGGTCCGGTGAAATTCCGCGCGTCTATTTTTTTAAATGTATTGTTCTATTTAGGTAAATTTTAATGCAAATAGTACATTATAGAAGTTTTTAGCGCATTTTCTCATTTATAGAAAAAATGCACTATTGTGCTGGTCATGTCCGTCTGTCCGTGACTTCACGTTTTCGTCGACGAGAAAATGCGCTCTGTCACTCACTGCAGTGAGTACTGAGTTATATTTTCATATTCTTGTTGACTATAACAACTTCATTGTACTATGAACACAAACCAAAATCAAACAGTGACGTTACTTTAAATTTATTCTCGTCATTAAAAAAGTACCCAAGTTGAAAAGAAATAGCATCCAAATTCCTGAAGCAACGGACGCAAGCATAGTACTGTTTATAAATAGCATTCTACACTAATGCTAAAAAAATGAATTTTTTGCCGCAGATATGCGCTAACATCAACTAAACAGTAGCAGAGGCGAGTCAAGAAGTTGTAATTCATATTTTCTTAATAAATTTAGCTGAATATATAATATGTCCTTTATCTGAATATATCATTTAAGAAGTATACATGGTGACATGTACATGGTAAAGTATACATGGTAAAGAAGTATACATGGTGACATGTACATGGTAAAGAAGTATACATGGTGGCAAATATGCAATAATAGACATGGTCCACTATGGGACTTTCCTGCGACAGTTATTAAGCTCTAAGCCATCACTCTCATCCAATGTGCACGATATAATCGGGGAGAACTTGAACATGATTCACAATTGAAAATTTGTCATTTTCGGCACATGAAAGTCATCAGACCATTCCTGTCCTGTCCCTAGCTACATAAAGAAACTACTGCAGTGAGGTGATTATATATTCATTCTAGAGTAATTAGAACGTCTATGGACAACATAAGATATACTAGAGTAATAAGAACGTCTATGGACAACAAACTATAGTAAAAAGAACGTCTATGGACAACATAAGATATACCAGAGTAATAAGAACGTCTATGGACAACATAAGATATATCAGAGTAATAAAAACGTCTATGGACAACATACTATAGTAAAAAGAACGTCTATGGACAACATGACATCGCAGACACTCACCTCGTACAGACGTGATGAGTTTAGAGTAGCAGAAGACAGAAGCACAACACGCTGCCAGGCCACAAAAAAAGACCAGAACATTGCCGTGCAGGTCCGGGGGACCAGAGAGACGCTGCAACGTCTCCGACAGCTGCACACGAACACATTTTAGGGGAAAATTTGTGGGAATATCAATGGGGAATTTAACAATGAATTGATTAAAAAAATTGACAAATGCGAAAAAAATAAAAAAAATGCTGATTGAGAATTTGTGGGAATGTTCATTGATTATAGTTTACCGTCAGTGAGTACTATTTAATTTTGCATTGCTTAATTGGTATGGAATTGAACTAACAAAATGAAATGACAAGTTGTTAAAATTGCAGACTGGCTTTACATGGCTCTATTGTTCATTTAAACGAAATCAAGATAAAAAATTAATATGGCCAATGCCTTCAGACAATCCCTGAGCTATCTATCACTCACAATAACTTTCTACTAATTGATTAATAAAAGTAGCGATTTTTACTAAAACCGAAACAAGTTTATGTTCAAAAATGTTTTACAAGCACATGAAAATATCTTACAAGTTTGGAAATGTGCTGAGCTGTGCAGTTTGGTGGCGCAAGAGACAGATGAGCAAGCCGGGCGAAGCAGCGATACACACCGCACCACTGATCCAGCAATGCCTTCAGTTGAACTCTGTAATAAATACATACTGATTAACTCCTTGACAAACTTGAACACATACCGTATCGAGTTATAAGATTAGTTAATTACACACAATTCTGTGTAAATACTTCATCACTCTGATATTCCTGACTTCATCTTCAGCCTATGTCATGATTGCTAGTAAGCTAGGCAGCGTTCCATTGACTTGAATATCCTCTATTTTAATAGAGTCATATTTTAAGATAACAAAAAAATGACGAAAGACATATTCTGATTCAAAGCAAATAAGCAACTAACAGCAAATTTCACTCAACAACATAAAATTAAAAATTTAATAGTAGGTATATAGAATAAACTGCTACTAGGAAACAGATTCAAGTCGATATATTTTGTTACTGCTGCAAGTCCGAGAGTAGAGTAGATGTGTGCTGCAGAGGCAGCAGCAGCACGCTGTACACACTGCTGAAGTCGTGCTCACTTCCATCTCCATTGTCAATTGTTCCAGTCTGACCAAAAATTCAAACATTGTAAATGAAATCATTCAGCAGAAAATCATGGAAAAGGCCCATTAAAGACAATAACTGGCTTTTGTTGCAATTTTTTTTCAAGCATAAAGAGACTAAGAAGATGGACAATCATTTATCTATCCACATTCTGAATAACAATTATTTATCAAATAATAAAATGAATTAAATAAAAGAACCCTCACTTCTTCAATAGACGCCTGCAGAGCCTTTGCTATGATGATCCAAATTTTTGATGCAACGTCTGCAGTTTGCGAAGGACTGCCAAAGTGACAGGAATCTTTGCCTGTCAACTCGGCAGAGGCGAGACTTATGGCGGCGGTAGAGAGGCAGCCAGCGAGACCCGAGCTTGCACCTTCAATGAATGCTAGTCGGGACAAGCCGTCTGTTTGGTAGCTTGCAAATAGATTCTCGAGCAACGCAAAGTAACTGCAATGAAGAGTCATAGAAATTCATGATCGTGAAACAAATTCTGATCTTTAGTAAATGAATGCTTATTCCTTGGTCGATATTTTTCTTCAATGCATTTGAAATGGAATAATTTCTGCTAATCATGAAACGAATATTAATTTGTCAATCAATCATTTTGCATGTGTTTTAGCTGGCATGGAAATAGTTACCAGTTAGCAAGGAAATGAATAAGAAATAATCAGCACAAGCAAAGAGGTAGTTGATCAGTGAAATTCAGTTAATAATGGTAATAATGTGCTCTATTTAGAATGTCAATTAAAGAAGATTATTCACAATTACAAAGTAACATACTTTTTGTGCTCAAGAAACACAATAATATGGAAAATAATCAAAACAACCCAAGACAAGCCATTATTTAAAAAAACACAACAACCCATTATTTAGAAAAACATTAGTCTTTTTCTTACCAGTCAGAAGATGCTGCGCGGCAGAACACTGAGGGCAAAAACAAGAAATCTAGAAGACTTGAGGCCAACGTTCCTCTCATGAGGTTGACTCCTGCTCCACCAACATGATAGTGTCTTGATGAGAGGACAGCAAGAGGGAAAGCTGATCCCCCACTGACCATCGAGTTTATCACTTGCAACAAGGTAGAGTTCAATGCCTTGGCCACTTCCTCATTCTGGTCTGGAGCTTCAGCACAACATTCAATAGAACAGCTCTTCAAAATGTCATACAATCCTTTAAGAGATTCAGCACCTTCACGAGAGTTTGGGTTTTTCAGTTGCTCACCTAAAAGTGAAATTAATGATTCGGAAATTTCCCCCAGTAACATGGAATCGCACTTCAGCTTTACTATGACATGCAAGACTTCATGGAAACTGGTGTTGATCAAACTGTGGTGCTTGCTATAATGAGTTGCTGACATTACTGGTCGCAGCAATGGTTCCAAGCCACCATCAGGTGGAAGAAGGGAATTTGCATTCTCCCTTTTAAGAAGGTAGAAAAGAACGTGGACTAATTTGAGGTGCATTTTCTTGGAAAAAGATGTGGCAACACTAGAAGTTGAGCTCAGATGCTTTGCTACAAGGCTAGCACTTTTAGGCGATGTTGAGACAATAGGAGCTTTGAAGCAAAGCTGCAACAGTGGCACAACAAGCATATCAAAATTATTTTCAACAATGTGAGAATCCACAGAACACAATAAATGCCACCATGAAGTTAATTTAGCATCAGCAATTTCTTCATTCTTGGCATTATTGGCCAGGAAAGGAGCCATGAGAAGACGCAAACGTTTGTTGCTACACAGAACTGACTTTTCAAGTCTAAAATTATCTATCAGACATGACCAAGACTGGAAAGCCTCTATTCTGACAAGGCTTTCAGGACTTTTGAAGCCACGTTCTATCACTGACAACAAAGAATTGATGAGAGTTGTTCCACTGTGCAGCTGCCGGCCAAGCAGCTTGACACAGACTTGCCATATAATAAGAGACTCTAAGGCACACTGACCATCATCCATCAATGTGCAAAGGACCTTGGAGTAAGAAGCTTTGATTTCAGGAACAGCTTTCTTTACAACAGCACTGAGCACTTCCACTGAGTCAGGCTGATCAAGCAATGCTTGCGTGCATTTAAGAGAAAGCCTGCGTACCTGAGTGTTGCCATGGAAGAGCTGAGGGAAAATTTCAGAATAGAAGTCAACAGCTCTATCTACTACCATCCGACTGGAAGTCTTCAGTAGAATAAGTAATACCTTGAGTCCTTCTGTCACAATTACAAGAGATTGTTTTTCGTTCAGAGCATCCACAATTATATCAATCAGTTCATCACAATGTTTATGATAAACAGCAATGGGATACTTTTCTTTTGCAAATCCCCATAGGACACGGGACACAATTTTCTTATCGTTTTCTTTCTTGACGACTTGTATGAGAGTTTTAGCCATTTCATCATGATATGACAAAGGCAACAAATCAACTATGTAAGAACGGCTCATTATGAGACTTGCAATAGACACAGAATTATGAAGAACTTCAGAAGAGCTCTTTGGTCCTGTCATATCTTTTTGCAGGGATGCAAATATTTGTACCATATCTTTTTCTTCCACAATTGACCAGTCAAATTCCACTGTGCCTGCAGTTGAAGCTCTCCTGAAAAATTAACTTCATGAGGTACAACATCAACAGAGACAATTATTGTTATTTTTCTGGAACTTTTATTCTAATTCACATAATTGGGGCAACTATCTCATCCAGTAGGCATTGAGATGCAGGGATCCTATTGTAAAAATTCCATCAAAATTATCATAAAAAATAAACCTTTTTACCTCTAGACATTTTCTTCTAGAAACGAGGTACCAAAAATCAGTCAAACTAGTGTAGAAGATTGCACAGAAATGTTAGGAAATATTTTTAAAATGTGTTCATTAAATTAAATACAGTTTGCACCCCTCACCTGACAATAGCTGACTGCACATCCAGTCTTTCTGCTGGAGTTCCATGGAGCAGGACCTGGAGCAGCTCTGCATCAGAAGGTACAGTTCCAGTGCTGTCAGCCTCAGGGGCTGGACTGGCATTCAATTTTTCACTTTCTTTCATCTTAAGGTTGTCTATTGCTATTAAAATGCATCTCAATCACCTGTGAATAAAAAAATTATTTAAATCTACCTCAGTTTTTAATAGAATGATTAAGAAAGTTGCATTTCAATCACAATTCAAGAATAAGTGTTGCACTAAGCAAGATCAGGTTGAATTTTATTACATATATATGTTGTCAACATTAAAAGGCTGAGCCACTGCAGTACAAAGTCTGAGTTCCCTGAGACCAGCAGTTGCTGTAAAATCTGAGCTTGCGCATCAGTTTGGTCATCACCAAGCCTTGGGCCTGATATCACTTCAATAACATATATGTAGCTATCATGCCCCAGGCCTATCACTTCAACAACATATATGTAGCTATCAGGCCCCAGGCCTATCACTTCAACAACATATATGTAGCTATCATGCCCCAGGCCTATCACTTCAACAACATATATGTAGCTATCATGCCCCAGGCCTACATGATTATTGTTAAGGGGCAGCTTTCATGTGGCCGGATAATAGCCAGCGCCTTCATGCTCTGGCCAACCGCTGGCCACTCGGGGCTTAGGAAGGAGAGGCCAAAGAGGCAATTGACAGCAATAGGAGAGTAATTATTAGCCTTGCAAATCAAACAGAAACCATTGCATATGCCTTGACTCCTTGAATATAGGATACTGAAAGCAGAAATTTTAAATTAAAGTACTGCCAAACGGGGTAATAAGGGATGGTTTTGAGCATTTTTTGTTAATAACTTCTTATTATAAAACATTTCAAAAACCAGTTCAAGCTCATTTTAAAGCTCTTTGCAAGGGCTATCAAAAAGCATCTTCAAAAATATTTCATATGCTATTTGTGAGGTACCAGATGCAAATAAAAGTGTCCTGAATTACCCCTGATAACAGGGTAACCTGGAACACTTGAAATTAAACTCAATTTTAAAACATTTGAAGCATGCAGAGTGTACTCATCCATTACTTAGAGTACTCTGTGTGCATATATGTAAGGGAAATTCACCCATTGTCAGATCTTTATTGTGATCAAAATTATTTCTTGTTTTACGGTATAATGTTACCGGTAAAGTTGGCTACCGTGTCGCGTGTGCTGACGTGGCATCACCGGGTTAAAGTCCGCGTTAGGATACCTATTCATTATTTCGTTGAGACTTGGTCGGAGCGCACCTTCCTCTCACTGTGCTCTAGTGACTGTGTAGCGTCCCTAGTAGGTGAGTTGCAGTGGAGATATAAGATAGGCTAATTCTGTGTTTGTAATTTAGCTTATGAATTTTCTAATAAGTGTTTACCGACCCGCTAATTTGAATTGCATAACTGATATAATTAATAGTGTTGTGTATTTATCTGCGTAACTAGAGTAGTTCACCACCATTGTTTGGCAGGATCGATTTCTTGCCTGGCCAACAAGTACGGCTCCTACGTAGGCCGACGACTGCGGTGCTTCTAGGGAAGTGTCCGCCACATTCAAGTCTCTACCGGTCCTGACACCTACAGTGTGTTCACTCCCAGCTGATGCTGTGCATCTTCGTGTACCCTACAGTACAGTGTGCCGTCAGCATATATATAGTGTCTTCTGTGTTGCCTTCAGCATATAGTGTTATTTGCGTGTTGCCTTCAGCATATAGTGTAATCTGCGTGTTGCCTTCAGCATATAGTGTCATCTGCGTGTTGCCTTCAGCATATTGCGTCCTAAGCTTGTTGTGCCTTCAGCATATTGTTTCTTTATAAAGTTACGTATCTTTTCAGTTCAGTGTGCCTATTATTCGTAGTTATCTGTTCATGTTATAAATTGTTAAATAGTTGAGTGTTCCGTTAGTTATTATTGTTGTAGTTGTCTCTGGTTAATAGATACTTGTTTATCTGGCTTTCATTTCTCCTTTGTTGAGGTTAGGTGGCAGTCGTGGCGGAAATTTACTGAATCAAATTGGAGTCGTCCTTAAATTGAACCTTACAATATACAACAACCTTGTCCACTGCAAGCTTGATATCAGTAGCCAGATAGCATTTCTTCTGTAGGTAAGCTTACAGGACGACTTGTAATTTTGCACCATTTTAATTGACTCAAGTGAATTCACTATAACAAAAAAAAAATGATTGTAAAAAACATACCTGGAACACAAAGGAATATTTTACTGACAACCATCATATTTTTTGAGAAAAAATCATAGTTTAGGTCAATTACATTTCGTTCTATGTTGCCCAGTGAACAATTCTATCTTCTATTCTTCTAATTCTATATTCAATTGACGATGACCAATGATGCATTGATCTTTTGTCATGTGAAATTTTTTTGCTGAGTGAGGTTCATCTAATCAAAATTCTTTCTTGTTAATTGATTTTTTTGTTGACTGGAGCCTTTGCTAACCAAGGCTCTACTGTAAATGTATTTTTAGGGGTGTCCCTTATAACCCCGGGGGGTGTCCCTTATAACCCCGGGGGGTGTCCCTTATAACCCCGGGGGGTGTCCCTTATAACCCCGGGGGGTGTTCTTTGTTTACCTTTGTATGCTTCATTTCTTTTGTGTTTATATTTTCTTGTCAGTCACACTCCGTGTTTCATTTTCCTTCACCCCATGGCTAAACCAAACCAGAGATGAAATGTTGAGCGGAGTCAGATATACTAGTTGAAACCTCTCCGCCTACACCGGGGGGTGTCCCTTATAACCCCGGGGGGTGTCCCTTATAACCCCGGGGGGTGTCCCTTATAACCCCGGGGGGTGTCCTTTATAACCCTGGGGGGTGTCCCTTATAACCCCGGGGGGTGTCCCTTATAACCCCGGGGGGTGTCCCTTATAACCCCAGGGGGTGTCCCTTATTACCCTGTCGTCCGGAAATGGCCGCAATTTTTCTCTGGGATGAAATACGCTAATTCCATTAATCACATTTTTAAGCCAATACCTGTGTGCAACATTTATTTACATAAAATTTTTCAATACGGTAAACATTTTTTTTTGCTACAGAATTTAGCAGAGGTACTTTTCCAAAATCTCACTTTTCATACTATTTTTCAAGGATTTTTTTGAGGTAGTATATGTATGATTTCTTAACTTGCTTTATGCTACATAGGAAAAATATTGAACTTCATACCACTATTTTTTTGCAATATTTTAATTAGTTTAGCTGCTATGACATTTCTACAAAATGTTGGAGGGGTGTCCCTTATTACCTTGCCTGTCCCTTATTACCCTGTTTGACGGTATTCTGCTATATGAGTGAGATGGTCATTCATTCATTCAAAATTCATTCCAAACATGTCTCAAAATTGTCAACAACACAACTGGTTTGATAGAAGTGAGTGGGCCATGTCATTAGCATGGCACAGAATAGTCATCTCGACACCACTTCGGCATGATTTTCTCATCAATTCCTAAGCAATAGATATGAAATTGAATAGACATGTAAATGCTCATGAGCTGTGGCAAGTATTTTTTTCATTTCCTCCAGTCTTTAATTAAAACGATAAAAGGAGTGGAACCTAACTTAACCTAAACTATTGAAATTGAGAGTAGGTAAAATATGAAAAAATATCCTTGCCACGGAATAATTGGTATTGAAAACTGTATACCTAATTTCGTAAATGGTTAGGAATGGAATTAATGGGTCCAATCAAAATGGGATGGCTGTAGCTCACGCTAACTCACACACACTTTTAATCAGCAAATTGATATGATTGTTGTGAATGATTAGAGGGCATGATTAAAAACTCAATCATGTTATTACAAATTGTAGCAGTAGATGTTAGCAAAATTATTGGTATAAACCTAATCTAAGTTAATGCCAATAGGCTATACCGTAAAATGGGGCAACTTAGACCGGCGGGGTAACTTAGACCACTTTTCGTTTTTTTAACAAAAACCCCCAAAACTCAAAAACTATTTGACATAGAAAAATTTCGTCAATGGGCATTAAAGGCCTAATACTGAGGCTACATAACACAATAAAAAGATTTAAAAAGTTTGCATATTTAGAAGAGTTCTACTACAATGCACCAAAACCTGGAGTTATTTGGAGTTATTTTACCAAAAAATATAATTGATTTTACCACCCGGTCTAAGATACCCCAAAAGCTGGGGTAACAAAGACCATCACTTTTTTTGAAATTACATAAAGACTATGAGAGGCAGGAGCTAGCAATTTATTATGAGTGATTCAGAGTGAAGCTAGAGTATAGGCCTGTATTTTGCATGTTTCAATTCAAGCTAGTAGTTTGCATGTTTCAATTTAGCTAGTAAAAAAATGGCATCATTTATAAAAAAAGTGGTCTAAGTTATCCCATTTCATGGTATGGAATATGGAGCTACATGGGATCTCTCATGTTAAAACCATTTGTTTAATCTGTTTAGCAGACAGAGTAAATAGTCAAACTTTGGATTACCAGGTTAATCAAAAGTGTCATTAGTAATAGGTTAACCTATCATTAGGACATAACCTGGTATTGCAGCCAATCCACGCCTGACAGGTTAACCCACAAAAGAACAACCATATGCAGCAGGTTAATACTGAGTGGCTTGTCCAGATTAATCCAGCTTTCCAGGTTTATTCCCATAGCCCAGTTGACCTTGTCACTTGTTCAGTCAGCATGCACGATTCATTTTAAGCCAATAAGATTACCACTATTTTCTAATGCAGATTCTATTAGTAATCTGGCCAATCAAAGCAGTGGCCAAGACCACCAAGTGAATTGACAATTGCCTAACATTTTCTGTGTTCAGAACTCTACCAGATGTGACAAAGGACCTGCGTGAAGTAATTTATGGCACTTTAAACAAAATTAAAAACAGTCACAGCGTAAAATTGGCTGAAATTAAGATTTGAGAGCCAACATACGACTGTCATAGTTGTACTTGAATAAATACAAACACAACTCAGAAGGACATTTTATTGCCTAGAAATTATAGTTTTTCCAAGAAAAGTGCAACAAATTAGTCAATCTTTAAAATGTAATTTAATAAAGAAAAATATTACTAGTTTTTTTTCAATATTATGTACATACCACTCATATTTATGTAATATTTTTCTGACTTTTTTCTTTTCTTTTTCAGATAGGCTATATAATTTTCATTAAGATCAGTGGAAAAATCATTTTTTTGCTCACACTTACTAATTACTATTAGCAAAAGTCAATTTGATACCTAATCATAAATGAAAATATGAAAGCAGACACAGGACCAGGATTGAAGTTTCAACTGAACAAAATTGAAACTCCCAGTAACAAGTAAAGGAAGCAGTAGCAACTAGCAGTGTATAGTTTAAATTAATTATGTTACAAAATATGAACTGAATTTACACTTCTTGGTCCTGGACATTTTATATTTTAGAAAGAAAGAAGTCAAAATATTGGAATAAACCAATAGCCACTGAAAGCAAAGCCACCAATGGTGTGGTGACCAGTGGGCCATGACCCATCATTTAGCCTTTAGGTAAAGGTGCTAACTGCTAATACACGGGGATAGTGCAGACGGCTAGTAAATCTGGCAAGTGTCGTTTAATTGGTGACTATCCGGCTAGTAAGCTGTAAGCCTGTACTCGAGGAGAGTATAAAGTGCCGCTATCTTCTCGTTCGCGCCGCCAGTGCATCGTTAGAAGCCGTCAAGTTAGGTCTGTGAAGATGGATTGAGGGATCACCTTCAACAACGTCATTTTTATACTCTTTATTCTAGCCCTTAAAATTGCAACGTCGGGAATAACTAAACCCTGACTAATAAGTTCTTCTTTCAGTTTCAAAATACCATAAAATGGGGTAACTTAGACCAGCAGGGTAACTTAGACCACTTTTTGTTTTTTTAACAAAAATCCCCACAACTCAAAAACTATTTGACATAGAAAAATTTTGTCAATGGGCATTAAAGGCCTAATACTGAGGCCACATAACACAAGAGAAAGACAGGGTAACATAGACCGGCTTGGAAGTTGGAAGTTAATATAAAATTACCATATATAACATATTTTATGTTTGACAGCCTATTTATGTTTTTTCTTTAGGTTTCAGACTCTACAGAGTCTTATATATGGTAATTTGCCAGTAATTTATGGTGAGTGAAGCTAGAGTATAGACCTGTATTTTGCATGTTTCAATTCAAGTTTAATTTAGCTAGTAAAAAAATGGCATCATTGATAAAAAAAAGTGGTCTAAGTTACCCCATTTTACAGTACTCATTTCTCTCTTAATTTTGTTGGAGTAACAACATGGCAAACATTCCACAATAATTCATATTTTTAGAATATATCAAAGAACAATTGAATATTGTCTGGACTCCACTTTGTAGGGCTGTTCTTAGAACCATTATCAGTCAAACAAGCCATGATTCACATCATTACATGACCCAAGATACTCCACAACTAGTATGGAATATATCTACTTGGCGAGCCGCGACTGAATTTTTCAAGCCGTGGTTTTATGGATTTGCCAGCCGTGATTCCATTTCTACGAGCCGTGAATTCCATATCTCGGCCATGAAAAGCCATTTACGAGGTGCGAATGCGAATTTATTTACAAAGTTTATGCACGTGTTACCCCAAATCTCTAATTTTACCCTTAAACAGTCAAACGGCAACAATAAAATTTGTCTCTACTGTAAGTTCAGCACGTGTTAATATACAGTCTGACCGCTTTGACATGACCGCAACTATGCGTGATCTTCAACAAACGTTTTGTTTATTTGTTTACATTACGATGTTTATGTTTTTTCTGCAAGATATTTTTGGCGGAAACGGTAAAGCAATGCGGATTGCGGAAGTTGAAAATTTTATGAAATGACATGTTTGCAAAGTGCAAACCGCGATTTTTTAATCAAACAAAAATTTATGACATTCGAGCCGCGAGATTTCATACCTACTGAAATTATATGATATTAGAGCCGTGATATTTCAGACAAAAATAGGACTTTTCCAGACTAGCTCCACAAGAGCAGCACAGATGCTCTCACCATGGCTGCATCAGCGCTACTACTACCTACTAGCCACTTTTCCAGCGCAGAAATCAACACGTCGTTGTCCCTCTCGGCCGCGTCTCGGGCACTTGCCGGCGCATGCCTCTGAAGCAGCTGAACCCCTATACATGAGGCTAGTAGCGTGGACAGTTCAACTGGCCGATGAACTAGCGGCTAGTACTATCCCTGTGTACAGGCACCTTACCTGCTGAGTCTTGCATTGTTGACGTTGCAAAATTGACAGAGTCTCAAACGAGTCAAACCATGTATCATGATGTATGATATACCTAGCATTACTAATTACTAATGTGTAATTATGCAATACACATTCACAATTTCACATTGGTGTGGGCTATACTGTATAGGCTAGTAGTGTTTCAAATTAGCCTAAGCAATTACCTACCTAAGGCTAATGCAATTCATATAGAGGCAAAGCAGAGAATTTTATAGACTTTTATTTCAAATACCTATTTGCATTACATCTTTCCCTTCTAAGTTCTATGAACTATAAATCATGCCCCGGGCCCGGATATGCCTGATTAGCATTGCCATTGGGCCAATCAGTGATTGGGCTGATTAAGATGGAAACATTTAAACATACTGATCAAATATATAGGCTACCTACAGCCTACTGATTATAGGCCTACTCGTTTATTTTATCCAATAGTCAGACTTAGACTAATTCTTAGCTAGTTCAATATCAAATAAGAATAAACATAATTACGTTTGAAAAATATTTATTTCTTTAAGAAGAGATTAAAATTGCGGTGTCAAAAGAATTATTTACGGTGGCCTAAACTAAAGGCCTCGTCACCTCGTGTTACTAGAGGGAGCGCTGCCGTAGCCCAAAAATTTGACTCTTAAATCAGCCCAAAAGCCAATGCCAACCCTCTACATGCAATTATGTTGGCTAATTTGCTCCGCAGTATGCTTGTGCACGGGGTGAAGTATGAAAATTATGCTGGTATTGGGCAATGCTGGGTTATTTCAGTCGTCCCTTACTAGATAGCCTAGTGGGAACGTCGACTCACGAGTTGATCATGCGTTCCGATGGTGATTGCAGTCCGCAGGGAATAAAAGTCAACTGTAAAAACCTTATTGACACATTTTTCCTGACGAATGAGTGAGTGGGATTTACCTAAATATTATAGTTGAAATAACAACATCGTAGAGGAATTTGGAAAACAGTTGAAAGAATTTAAAATCAAACCGAAACAACAAAATAGCGATCAGGCATCGAACATCGCGGGCGGGAAATTTGTGAAGCGTTCATCGCTACTATGTCAACTAGGCAGATGCCTCCCAATACCTTTTGACGATTTTCAAAGGCCACACCTGTTGGGCAATTAAAGTTACATCTGAATATGTGATTTATAAATTTGATTAGGGTTTTTACTTGATGTTTTCTATGTTCTTAAATAATTGTCAGGTGAATAGGTTTTGATCAATAAATTGTGAAAATTATGGACTTCAACGGGTAAAACTAATTCTTATACTCGACAGGATTTTCAGTATGGAGTCAAATTACAGTTTAATATAGAGTCTTTAATATAGAATTTTATTAAATGAGATCGAATAAAATGATAAAAGCATTTTTTAAGCAACCTAACCACCACTAAGTCCTTCAATACAGAACGGATTTGCTTGAATTTTGAAATATAAGTATATTATAAGTGGGCAGGGTTAAAGTTCAGAGTACCAAGATTGGAGCAGAGAGGTGCGGGTTCGATCACAGCTCTATACGCCAGTTTCTGGTCAGAATCGGCAAGGAGGCCGGGCGGTTAAGCACAGCAGAATTGTAGCAGTGCGTTGCGAGTTCGAGACCGCAACAAGCTGTGAATGTTCTGCGATGTTACGAATCGGCAAGAGGCCTACGGCCTAATAAACGCTGAAACCGCTATTATTATTATTATTATTATTATTATTATTATATTATTATACATTATTATTTATATATTAATATATAAATTATATTGTGTATTTTTAATACTAATATATTAGGTACTATCAATACGCTGCGGTAGAAAGGATTACAGATTTTTACATTAATTCGTTTTAACTAAAACAAATAAGTGCATTTTTTTAAGTAACCTTGTAACTCATAAGTCAATCAATTCTGACCGGATTTGCTTGAATTTCGGAATATAAGTAGGTATTCAATACGCTGCAGTAAGAATTATTACAGATTTTTAAAAGTAATGTTTTTAGTATAAAACACTCGGCAACAGCGCACTGATTTGCACAGCTGCATTGGGGACCGGTATCCGGTAATCCTATGCTCTATATTTGGGTGTCCATACGATGCGTTCAAAATGTGGCTGAGTGTTTTTTTTAATCAAAATTAAGTGATGTGTCTTTCTAATACTTATAAAATAAATAGCAAAGGCATATGGTAATGTAGGCATATGGGGCAGGGTGGCCCAGTGGTTAAAGTTCAGAGTACCAGGATTGGAGCAGAGAGGCGCGGGTTCGATCCCAGCTCTGCGCGCCAGCTTCTGGGCAGAAACGGCGAGGAGGCCGGGCGGTTAAGCGCAGCAGAATTGGAGCAGTGAGTTGTGTGTTCGAAAGCACATCAAGCTGCGAATGTTCTGCGATGTTAAGAATCGGCGACAGGCCCACGGCTTACTAAACGCTGAAACCGCTTTTATCATATGCTATGACAGAATTTACATGGGAATACACTATTAAATGATGAATGGTCAGATTTCGGCTTCATTGGTGCGGTGGTCGTATGATAAATTAGAACATGATGTGAGCTGTGGGCTCGAGACCCAGCTTGCTGTGAAAATCATGCGGTAACTAGAAATGGTTACATTCCAACCACGACTGAAACTTGAAACCTGACACCATTGCATTATACTATCAACACCACCACACCATTATTCCGATGCATCTATTATAATCTTGTAAGGTTGGCTTGCTAGAACCCGAAGGCGCAAATCTCTATTTCAATCTAGATGCACTAAATTATAACCTCTAGGCAATTTTCTGCTAATTAATCAACTAACCAATTATATACAATCAATTACCCGATTATATACATAATATATATTATCGACCCTTGCAGCCTAAATGTCGTTACATTGTGAGAAAATATCACACGTAACCCCGCAAGAAAATATATGGCGCTCCATAGTAGGTTTCGGGTAAACCTTTGATTATTTAAATTACATAAAACAATACTGATTACTTTTGAAATTTTAAATTAACGAGAATTTAGTGACAATATTGTGATTTATGCGCCTAAAAACGTAATATTGACGAAAAACGACTTCTGCCGACTACCGTTTTTGTTATTGCAAACAGCGGATCCCATTGTGCATCCCATCATTAACTTGTATATCGGTAACTGCAGCAGAAAGAATTTTTTGGCCTGTTAAAATATAAATTTGGTGGATTTGTAGCACTTAAATTTGTAGCAAATGAACTGCCTTAATATTATTCATTCAATTCCATATTTTAATCGTTACAAATGCTCATCTGAGTCTCTTTCTATGCCTTAAACGACATTCGCTTAAAATATCTTTCATATCTATATAGCCATGCACGTAAATTTGGGTGTCTTGTGGTTTCATAATATATACTCACACTTAAATACCATTTTTCACGGCGTAGTCACATGAGCAGAAAGAAAGGAACTAACTACACCGGCATAATTCTTCAGACAAGCAATAGAACGGCCTGTCAGTCAGTTAAAATTTATACACAAGTCTACGGTCATCGCTGCCAGCATTTCAGTATCTCACCTTCCGAGAGTACGTCTCCCATCGATTAGTGTAAGTTTTAGATCTATCTGAAGAAAACCGTTGAACTTGATAACATGGAACCATCGGAACAAGAATAATAATTAGGTTTGCAGATATTGAAAACATATATATATAATGAATTCATAGCAACCAAACAGCCAGGTGGCTCCCTAACAGCCTGGTGGCTCCCTAACAGCCAGGTGGCTCCCTAACAGCCAGGTGGCTCCCTAACAGCCAGGTGGCTCCCTAACAGCCAGGTGGCTCGATCCCTAACAGCCACTCGGCTCTCTAACAACCAGGTGGCTCTCTAACAACCAGGTGGCTCTCTAACAGCCAGGTGGCTCTCTAACAGCCAGGTGGCTCTCTAACAGCCAGGTGGCTCTCTAACAGCCAGGTGGCTCTCTAACAGCCAGGTACAGGCCCTGGTGTTATTAAGACGAAAGCTTCTCATGAAACTTGTTGAGTTAGTTATTGCTGCATGCATAAGTTCGCACAGTTAAACTTTAACGGGGAGCTAAGCAGCAAATTATTTAGGCAGGAATGAGTATTCTTATATCGAGGTATATGCTTAGCAATATTTTATTTTTGTCTTTTTCGCATATTAGGCAAATGGGGCAAGCAGTAACCGGGTGGCTGCTAGCTGCAATCAATTAAGCTACTGCAGATCAATCAATCAATTGGTCAATCAATTAAGCTACTGCCTAATCAGTTAAGTTACATTGCTAAGATTAACACACACTTTTATATTGCGTTGTCTTCCTTAAACCATGACGTATTTGACTGAAAAAAGCAATTGCGAAGAAAAAAATTGTCAATTTTTCGTTCAAGTAGTTTTCAAGATGTAGTTATGTGGTGTGACTTTCACCATCACTTATTTGAGAACACAGATGCAATGTTTCGGCACTCGACAATAATAGAAAATTTCAGTTTGAGGCGTATGCTCTGGATCAGTTGTTATTAGAGCGATTTATGCACGTATGTCTCAGGTTCTAATTTTTAATTCATCGCACCAACTGGATAAATTTGTGGAACGGAAGATTGTGAAATAAGAGAATCGAATTGAGTTTCTTGGTTAGGCCAGGTGGTCGTCGTCGAATGGCTCACAAGGTTAACGCATTGTAATATCATTAATTACGACGCTGGGACGAAATCCCTTACGACAGTGGTGGTACAAGCAGAGACCAGGGCAGAGAAAGCAAGTTTATTCAAGGCAGGTTCACCAGAGACTGACTCGTCGGTGAAGACGAGGATTAGCTTAATGTACAATAGAAAACGTCCTATCTAATATTTACAGGGCTAACATGCGTGAATGTTTAGGCAATAGACTTCAGTATACAGCAAGCATTATATGAAAAGACATCAAGACCTAATTGTAAGTAAATGTATTCTTTGGATTCAGTTGCTTAGTGCTGTTTAATGTAGTATCATTAGGTTAGTATCTGGAGTCAAACATCATTATGAAATTGTTATTCGTTTATTATTAACTGTATGTTTTCAAATGAATTGATTCCGGAAATTGCACTCATAAGCAGCAACGTCGAAATTAACCTTTAATTGAAACGTCAATTTTGACAAAAGTTTTGGTTCACTTTTTCCTGTCACCGTTGGACGCAGAATTTTGAGGCTCATCAGCGGCAGCCTGAAGTCCAGCAGTCAGCACAGAACTTGCAGCCAAACCTTCACTGAGTTAGGCCGTAAGAAGGCTTATAGGAAAAGTTTCATTATTTTCTGCGAAATATTTTTTTTCGGAATTGTTTAGTCTATTAAGTTCAGTGAAAATTTACATTTCAGAATATTTGCAACGTATTATTTTTTACTTGGAATCTATGTCAATATTTGACGCCGCATAAATTAGACAGGGTTTCCAGGAAGTTTGATCTGAAAAAATATAAAAAGGTATACAGTACCTAAAATTTTTAAGTGACATATATACAATAATTTTCGGTATACGCAACCATCTAAACATTTATGTGTGATCTTAAATGCTGCTAAAATTTTCAATAACGGATAATCTATTGTTAAGGTACGTAGTGCATAATTGGTTTTTATCAAAGTTGGGATACGTGTAATATTTTACGTGATGTTTTAAGTCACCTCTGACGTGACTCCAAGGAGGCACGTGATGTACTTATTAATTGTTTATTTATCCACCCCGCGGAAACGTGCTTAGTATTCGGTCTGTTTATTTACGTTAATCTTCTTAGTCGATGAATTTTGAGATTTTAAACCATTTCAAATATGAAAAAGATTCACCAAATCAGATTACAGTACTTAGTCGGAATAGATTAGTATGAATGACCCTAAGCCAAAGATGGGCGATATCATAATGTCGTGTGTATATTGTGGCAAAAAGAATTAAATAAAAGTTATAATTGAATATATATAATGATGATAAAACTTCATACATAATAATACAAAAAATCAAACCATGTGCACTCGTAGCTCATGTTCTTACTCTGGACCCAAGATTCGGAGACTTTCTGAAATACATAAATTAACCCATATTGAGAACTTGTATTGACCTATGTCTAATCGATTTTGAATTGTCTGGAGACCATGGTTCTGCAAGCCTGCGACCTAATGATTTCTCTAACAATAGAAATGTTCGGTTTTTGACATACTCGTATGCCTGTTTGAGCGGCAATAGAATTAGCTCCTGCAAATATGGTTTTAGTTACAATTTCTGAGCATCCTGACGGCCGACAGCTTAATTATTGAAGATTGCACACTAAATTTATTCCCTGCCCCGGCTGTCGTGTTGATGTAGATTTGTAGACTATCTCGTGCTAGACGACTGAAGGAGAACGTGTTCAAACGGTATTCCATTTTTGAGCAGCTTATTTGATTCCCATTAGTATCGTATATTCCGCCATATTTTTTTATGTCACTCCAAAAATTTAGAGTGCAGTTGATAAATTGAAATCTTGAGAATAACTTCATTTTAGAACTCAATACTTACTATATAGCGGCTTACGGTGTATTGCAAAAAAAAAAAACATATGTTGACTGGTAGAGTGTGACCGGGTGGCGGCTGCCATCGTGTTTCTGCAGTATCTTGATTTTGTTAGGATTGACAGGCATTTGTTTATTGTGTGGTATTCTTTATACTATGACGTATATGACTGAAAATTTCAGTTGTAAAGGAAAATTTGCTAGTTTTTCCTTCAAATATCTTTAAAAGATGTTGTTACATGGTGTGACTTTCCTCGTCAATTCTTTTGGAACAAAGCAATTTTACGATGCAAGTTTTCGGTACTTGGCATTTATAGAAGGTTGCATGCTTTAGGTTTATGCTTAACATCGGTTGCAAATTCAATGATCAAAGAATAGCTTTCAGACTTGTGAACGCAGCTCTATGAAACTTGGTACACGTTTTCAGTAGGACCTAACGGAGATGTTTATAGCTCGTGAAAATTTTTTGAATTTTGCCTTTGTCCATCTACCGCCTGATTTTCTGGATCAAAAATCAACCATCCAGAAATTGACTGGGTAAATGAACCCTTTCCAAGTTAAAGAAACACCGAGCATCCCAGTTCTTGGAGTCTGTACGAGAATCATTTTTAATCCAGAACATCACCAAGCCAACCCATTTTAGGGGTAAACTGACTCCAAATTTTCTAGATCTAGTTTTTATTAGTGAAGAATCAATGCTAGATGAGCTTCGCCACGAGCCTCCGTTGGGCAAAAGCCCCCACCAATCATTATTTTTCAGAATAAAGTGCTGTGCAGAAAAGACGCTTCGGAAACGTGAACGGTTGAACTTTGCGAAAGGCGACTATGGTAAACTCTGTGATGTATTGCTTGAGGCGAATATTTCTGACTGTATTAAACACATGAATGTGGCTAATTCATGGTCATTTATCAATGGCACGGTTATGTCTGCATTTGATGCCTGTGTACCTAAGATTACGCTCGGAGGAGTAAAAATGAACAATGCAGTTATATATAGCTCAGCTTACGAACAAAAAGGAAGTCAACATGCATTATGTACGAGCTCGCAGCGATGCTGATTATAACCTGTATGCAAGAGCTCAAAATCAAGCTGGAAAAACAGTCGCATCGCCGTGAAAAACTTTGAAAAAAATATTGCAAAAAAATACAAAAAAGATCCCAAAAGTCTTTTTTTGTACGCTAGTTCAAAGTGTAAGAGAAACGACGGTATTTCTGATCTGCAAATAGACCAACGAAAGATATCCTCTGATGAGGGCAAAGCTAAGGTTCTAAATCAGTTCTTTAGCAGTGTCTTCACAGATGAGGACTCAAACAGTATTCCAGCTATTGAGTTGGATTAAACAGTATTCCGCCCAGTTGCCTCAAAGTTAACACAGTTTGAAATACACCAAGAAGAAGTTTTCAAGCGCCTGGTCCCTCTAAATCCCAACAAGTCATGTGGATCAGACAACTTTACCCTAGATTGCTCAAAGAATTAGCAACCGTCCTGGCCGGCCCTCTGACAGTATTCTTTCAAAAAACTTTGAACGAAGGAACTTTGTCGACCGATTACAAAGAAGATCGTGTAACACCCTTGCTCAAATAAGTGGATAAAAGTAGTAGCCCCGGTAACTATTGCCCTGTCAGTCTGACAAGTGTGAAATGTGGAAAACCGGGATGCAATAATTCAGAAATGCAATGGAATCATTCAGCGACTATAAAAGACCAGGCTCTCTTTTCTAATTTTGCTCACATTTTTATATTTATATCTAGAGGAATTATTTCCGATTACGCATTCATTTAGGGGGGCCCTCAATTTTCTTGTGTTATGCAATAATTCGAGTAAATAAGAAAAATATAACTCAGTACTCACTGCAGTGAGTGACAGAGAGCGCATTTTCTCGTCGACGAAAACTTGAGGTCGCGGACGGACAGACAGACGGACGGTTAGACGGACGGACAGACGGACGGACGGACATGTCGAGCACAATAGCAGCTTTTTTCCATAAATGAAAAAATGCGCTAAAAAGACTTCTAGAGTCGCAAGATATTTACTTTTCAAATCAATTGATATGTGTATCGACGTTGTGTCTCGTAAATGACAGAAAAATATAACCTTTTAAGATGACGCCAATTGGAAATTTAAATAATTCAGTGGTAATGAACTATGGAACTGGAACGGGTCCTGACTGACACTGTACCTCCGCCTTTCCCGTCACCTATTAAGCGCATTGAGGGTACCGTCATGCGCTGCATAACTTATTGTTGTCCAGTTCAACAATAATAACAATCTATAAATAAAATAAATTAAAGTAATCTTTGAAGCAATTGGAGAAAATGTTTTTTTACATGTTAGAAACTGCCACACTCGCAAACTATAGCAAGCTCATACATAAGGTTTGCTGCGTTAGACGCACCTTTTTCATAGCTACAAAATGAGATTAGAAAACGAAAAAAACGATTTTTCATTTATATTCTTTTGGGTAGTGAAAAATTATTTCTGTACTACTCCTTACTATTGCACATTAGTACTACTTACGCAACACGTAACTTCTTGTACGTAAGTACAAGAACTACTAAGACGTCGGGAACACCTCGCTGGCATACTCGTACCCTTTACCAGCCCCCCTGAAAATTTTCATATAATTTTGTTAGCCTAATTACTTCATAGTGAGAAAGTTACTTCTTACTCCGAAATTTTACCTTAATCTGATCTATATACAGTACTATGTCATCACGATCAAATTTTTCGGGGTTCAATTAAAATACTAAATTTAAGAAAATTAACAACAGTACATGAGATCAAGGGCGCATGACGCATTCATTTAAAAATAAAACTTGTCGGAAATGTCCCTATAAAATAAAATAGTTAAGGTGATTGTGATAGCTGAGAACAAGAATATATTTGAAAACATCTCAATAGAATTTATGATGTATAATCGGCGATTTAAGAAATTCGATACATTGGACTACTTCTAAACATTTGCTAATGGAAACGAATCAAACCAACTTCGAAACAAACTTATGGAAAACTATTAACCTACTAATTTTGGTATTTAGAGTCTGAACACAAAACGAAGCATTCTTCAAACATAAAGGACAAGATCACTTCAATATTCTGAATTACGTCTTATTTTATTTGTATTTTAGTGTCTATTCCTCTGCGTTTAGCTTTTCTATGGTCCATCTTCTCTGAAGCCTGCTATATGTCTACGCGTTGGCGTTATCTGAGTTCTACCTTATCTTTATATTGGCTGCCTTAAGTTCTGTGTCTCCCTCATATTTGCTACGTCAAGTTCTACATCGTCTTCGCATTTGCTCCGTCATGTTCTACGTCGTCCTGATATCTGTTAGGTAAATTTCTACAGCATTCTCTCTCTTGCTTCGGCAGGTTCTACGTCGTCCACAACTTTTGCTAAGCAAAAATTTCTGTCGAACTCTTCTTTTACGCCAAGTTGTAAGTCTTCATCACTTTTGCAGAAAGTTCTACGTCACTATCTTTTGCTTCAAGTTCTACGCCGTTTTCATCTTTCACGGCAAGTTTTACGTCGGCATCATCTTTTGCGGTGGTAAGTTCTACGTCGTCTTCTTGTTTGGCGGCAAGTTCTAAGTTGTTTTCATCCTTTGCAGCAATTTTTACGTCATTTTTATCTTTTGCGGTAAGTTGTACGACGCCTCTGTCTTTATCTACAATAACTTCCATAATTTCATCTGTCTGGTCTTCCCCTACAGACCGCGGGTCGTAGGAGGTGCAGCTGGGGAAGAAGCAACACGGCTGACCTCTGTCAAAAACACAGAAGCAAATGCAGAGCTATGCTTGGACTTATCTTAAACACTAAAAACATGTAATAATGACAGGATATATATTAAGCAGTTATAAAGAACTAAGATAATGAGTTGCATGAAAGTCAGTTAAGTTTAAACTCCGCTCCTGTAAAACCTGACTTACGAGCCAAGTTGTTCACTCTCACTGAGAGTCTGCGTTAAGGGGCAACCCGTTGTCTCCGGTAGGAATAACATGGAGAAGGCTGATACCGCTGCCAGGATCCCAAACAAGAGCAGAGGAAGTGCGGGGTTTAATTTTCCCTGTAAGCATAAGCGATGTACCAAAAAAATTTTGAATTGAAACCACTTTAATTGTTTAATTTCTTATATTAATATCATGCAGTAATTAATTATATATTATTTAAAATATTGCCATCTCTGAAATTTATTTGGTTGCTTAACATATTGAATTGCGATGAACTCACATTATTTTATTTGATTAGAGATTAAAACATTGTATTGATATTTTACAATATTTTTGTAGGTATAGTGCCTATTGATCCCATAATATTCTGTTTATTATTTTTCAATTAATTTCAGGTACAATACCAGCAGGTCGACTAGTGGAGCTATGACGCCGGCGAAACTAGCAAACACGGAACAGCAGCCGAGCCCTGTGCTGCGGTGCGACGTCGGGAACACTTCACTGGCGTACACGTACAGCGCGCTGAACGCTGCAGCTGCTCCGAACTTCCCTATGAGGCTCAGCACCACGATGACGGTGGACGCTTCTGCAGTAATGGGGGGGTAGGTTAAGCTCAATTCCTTCATTCTAGTTCGTTACTCCAAAATGAAGAAGCACTAGGGAATGGATGTTGATTATCTGCTAGTTAAGACTGGAAAGATGTAAATGCTCCAGGCTGAAAGTGTCCGGGAGTCGTTTGTGGACACAAAGCTTCATTTGTTTACCAGCAGACATGGTTAGCTTTTAATCCGCTGTGTTCCTGTGAACTTTCCTGAGACGCTAAGTCAACAGCTTATACAGCTTATGTGTCACGAGTTTAAAAGCTCTGTGTGCGGAAGTACTAAGTCTATGAAAGGGACTGGCACCTTAATAAGTCCCCAAGTAATAAGTCTATGAGAGGGATGGGCACTTTAGTAAGTCCCCAAATCGCTCGCATCGAGCATGCGCACCCGCCGCCATGTAGCACTCACTCATTGTTATAGTTACTCCGACCTTGACGGTCGAAGTCTGACGGTCGTATACCAGTCTGTACCTCTGTAGTGACTCTGTAGCGTAACAAACCTGTATAAATGCAGGTTTTGGATAAAAAGTGTGTGTACTCATAGCTCACATGTCATCGAATACCTGTCCTCAGATTAAACCTAAATACCATGTTCATATGCGCGGGGCATTCATCTATTACCCCAACAGTTACACCTTGATATTGCCTCCTTACAAAAGTGCCTCCCGAACATAGGATTTTCCCTTGATAAAAGGCTACGAAAAGTACGAATTTAATAATTTCTTGGATGGACATTTACAGATGATGGAAAGCTGGATGGTTCCATTAAAGTTAACTAAATTCAACAACGTTACAGTACAGTATTGCAAATACCACGAGTTCAAGCGATACTTGATGAATTAATAAACCGAAAATTTGGCAGCGGATCATAACCCAATTTACAAACAAGTTTCGTCATTTTACCCTTTCTTAACTAATATATCTATTACCTTCCATGCAGGTACAATTCTACATTAACTTCATTTAAGCCTTAATAAAATATCAAAGTTCATCTCACCGGCAGGCAGGAAGGCAGTACTGAAGCAGCCAGCCCCGGCTATGAGAACCGACCCCACTAGACACACTTTGTGACCAAGTCTCATGAAAATTAAAAATGAAAATTAAAAGAAAAAAATTAAAATATCGATTACGAAATACGTTTGAGTTGTCAATCAAAACATATTGTAAATTTGTTAAAATTTACAGTACCTTATGTGTCAACCTATCTTCAGAATGATAATTTGATAATTTAGAGACATATTAGCTGCAATACTGTGAGGTAAGAGGGTATCAAGATGATGTACATGAAGTGCATAATGAATTTTGTGACCCACCATCAAAGTATGGCTAAAAAATAATACCTACGGTGACCTAATCAATAAGTTTTGCATCACAAAAACCTATAGTTAAATGAAGTCTCTGAATAGCAAATAAATTACAAGTCACCTGTCGAAAACAATTGTCATTAGAAGAGTTGCAGGTATTTCGATGAGCATCGTGGCGATAAAATTGACGAAAATGTTTCCATCGAGGTTGCCAACGTTATTAGAGATGCCATAGTAGACCATCGACGTCGTGAACCTGAATTCATAATTCAGTGTTTTCAATTAAATCAATATTAATAAATTTCACAATTCAGTGTTTCGCAGACGTCCGTATAGATCACTGAATTGATCTGAATTGAGCCACAGAAAGTGGCTGAACTTTATCAGTCAGTTTAAATAAAACTAAAAATCTAACGTATGTCTATGACTTCTTATATTGTGCGTAATGTCAGTCAATAATAAGTTCACGTTATGCAAATTTAGAGTGAAGTGATGGGAAGAAGTTTAAAGAAATGTTTTTCTACCAAGTATTGTTTATAAACGTCGAATCCCTCAGTTAATGCACAGTGCGTTATGTTAGGCTACGATTGGTATTACATTTTTATTGATTTATTTTGAGTGCTAAATTTTTATTTCAGGTTTATAATACATAAGAACCAACTTACCAGGCATAGAAAAGAATCAACGAGCGCGTCCTCATATATGGCGTTTTCAGTAAATTCAAGACGTTTTTGCTTTCTTGTTTAACGTCATCAGGTGACATATTGGTCTTCTCTTGCTGCAAGGAAACAGTCGATCGTCTTGTCAAAGGTGACATCTTATCTAAAATATTAATAATTGTTTATGTCAACAAATAAGAACATACAAAACGATATTCTAGTCGTATACGCACTAGTTAATTACAAGGTCAAGTGTGCTATCCTGTCAAAATTTGGCGAGCCTGGCGAGCCTGAATTAGGAACCGCCTAGGACTCGGACCGAACGTAAATCAGCTTCTCTATGTCCGCTTTTTGGTCTACATTCCGGTCCCCGAATCTGACAGCTACCAGAGCCTGGTGAGGGGACTGAGGGGATTCTGCCAACTCTTGCCCTACTCTCAGGAGACCATAAAGTCGGCCAGGAGGTTCTGACTGGTCGCTGTTTGCGATCAGTTGGCCAACTGACCCAGATTAACTTTGCGCCGAGTGTAGTGACTATTCGGCCGAAGCCTAGGCGGTCCCCGAATTTTGTTAGGGATAGAACACGACATGGCGGTAAGATCTTTTAGATTATTGAGTGCATCTGGGTAAAGTCTGTTCTCTGTATAGACGAGTAGGCGTCCAAAATGAAGTACTTTTTTATGAACAAATCATAATTACCAGATAGACGATATCAAAATTAGAAATTTTGTTAAACTTGGCCATTTTTCGCACGATGATCTCAGCCTCCTGCTCACGCCCTTGAGTCATCAGCCAGCGCGCGCTCTCCGGTAACACCCTGCGGCGGAGAGAATCTCTACAAAGCTTGTTGAAAATGTTTAATTAATCTATAGACTCGGAAAAATATGATGGTGAATGTCTCAATATAGATGCATGTGGGTCAACCAGTCTGGTCCGGCAAAGTTTCTACTGGGGTAAGGTACCGCCAGGTCAAGTTTTTTTTTACCTTTTTAGCAATATAGTAAAAAAATAGTCCGGATGTTCGGAATTGAAAAAAAAAAAACTGACCTAACTGGACCTAAACCCTATAGAAAGGCCTCTTACAACGTAATGAAGGGTTATAAACGCAACAATAACGCAATAACGCAACAATAACAATATGACTTTATATATACAGTATATAAAGTCATAAGTCCACTTTACCGGACTTTAATAATTTTTTTTTTGCTAAACTGCAAAAAATATATAAAAAAAACCTGACCTGGCTAGAAGTAACCGGTTTTTAAGTACAAACTAATTGCAGAGTTAATTACCGGACTCGATTTTATCCGGTTTTGTACCCCCTGTCCGGTAATGTTACCATTTTTGTCCGGTAATTGTTCGAAATTCCTATATATATATATATATATTATAAGATGGCAGAAATTTCTTGATTATATGCGTACAATTTATGACCAGAGAGTGCATTTGAATTTTCAAGTAGTTGAACAATTCTTAGATGACGTTGGTAGATCGAAAGGCATTGGAGTATTTAGACTAACAACCACGACATTGAGACCGTCTCACCTGTCATCTTCAACCTGGAGGGCAGAGAAGCCCCCTGAGACAAACTCACAAAACTGTCGCTCGCACCGTGCTGGAGAAACCCACCAGCGTAATCATGCGGAGGTGCACAACATTAATCGACCAACGATTGCTGGAACCGTCTTAATTTTGAATTTGACCCCAGCTATCGATTTCCAAGCTACCGGATTTGTCTTAAATAAAATATGAGATTGTTTGCGTAAGGACTTTCTGGCTCGAAATTTTTGTGTTGTATCCTATTTACGTGTATTATGTACTTATGTCCAACCAAATTTCACTATTCAATGCTTCTCTTAACTTGAAAATGAATGTTGCTACATTCGAAACGTCGTTAATATATTATTATTTGCTAAATCTGCCTTTTGATCTACCAACGTCATCTAAGAATTGTTCAACTCCTTGAAAATTCAAATGCACTCTCTGGTCATAAATTGTACGCATATATATTAGAATGTCGTATTGTATCCACTTTACTTTTGATATGTACTTCTGTCATTTCAAATTCAATTTCAGATGTTGTAAAACCTTCACCAGATTGATAATGAAAATTGTATTTTCGAAACGTCGCAATCTATTAAAATGTCATTCGGAAACCTGCTTTTCGATCTCCCGGCTCCAGCTAGAAATTTGGTTCGACTCATTGAAAAGACGAACAAGAAGATTGTAAATAAAAAGCATGCTCTGGTCTTCAATCAAACTTGCATAAAAGAGAAGCTTCTGCCGAACTACACCAGTAGCTGATACCCTGAACAAACATAGGCAGGGATATGGTATCATGCCAGGAGCAATATATAAAAATCCTCACCAGTAGCTGATACCCAGAACAAACATGGGCAGGGATAAAGTATCATGCCAGGAGCAATATATATAAAGCCTCACCAGTAGCTGATACCCAGAACAAACATGGGCAGGGATAAAGTATCATGCCGGGAGCAATATATACAAAGCCTCACCAGTAGCTGATGCCCAGAACAAACATGGGCAGAGATATGGTGAGCTGCAGCATCCGCCAGCGCCGGATGAAGATGGCGTAGACGCCGACGGCCGCCTCGCCCAGAGCGAAGCTTACGCTGATCAGCAGCCCGACGACACTGCGGTGCTGCTGAGGCATGTATTCAGCACCTGCTGGGGCATTTACTCAGCATCTGCTAGGACATGTACTTAGCAGCTGCTGGGATATTTACCAGCACCTGCTGGGGCATTTACTCGGCACCTGCTGGGACAGGTACACGTGAACTTCGCGTGTCTTTTCACCAACTGTTGTTGATTTAACTTCCCAATATTTGTACTACCTTCAGTGTCAAGCAGCATCAATAGTATTGTCATATGTATTCATATTGTAGTATTGTTCACGTCCTGTTAACTGATATTCATATTATTCTCAGTAATTGATGTACAACATAAAATACGCTTGAAATCGTCAGTCTGATGATCTTTCGTGTAACATAAAATTAACTCAGTTTTCAAAATTCAAAGGCGTTTACATATCAAGGTGCTATTTTCTCGTTCTAACAATTTCATTATTAAAAAAATATATTAAAAGAAAATAAAGTGTGAAGTTATACGCACAAATAACGAATATAATTGTGTAGACTGAGATGCCGCCGAAGCCTGTGAGTAGCCTCAATAGGATGAGCATCACGGGGCCTGTGGATGCCGCCCCCAGCGAGCTCCCCGTCACCAGCAGCACCAGCGACAACATGTGCGTCAACTACGCGCCAACTCGAACTTATTCTTCATTATTACAGGATAATTCTAAATGAGCTAGCTAATTTATTAAATTTGTATATATTTAAGCGTAAATTCAAAATGAATAATTTATACAGCGATGTGCAGAGAAAAATTGTCGAGCGAGAAAGCACATCTTCTGTTCTGCATCGTAGCAGTGATACGGTTCTTCAGATCGATCAGGTGGTCTTGGTGGCCAGAAGTATAGGAAGTGTAGAGCCAGATCTTCATTGCAAAAGAATATTTTCAAATGTGTAAAAAGACTTTGATTCTTTCCCCTTTCATTTGTGTATAAAGTATTCATTTTGAATTTACACCTAAATAAATACCAATTTATTCAATAGGGTCCATCATTTTAAATTACAATTTATTTGCATTATGAACCGAAGTTAGCGCATACGTCGGGATTTTACTTATGACCGTAGCTTCTAAGGAAGGATCATTTTCTATAGCAAATTAACTATTGACGGTCGCTTATTAGGTTCATCATTTCAAAACGGAAAGTTTGTCGTCGGACGTTCTATCTGCCTCATAAACTAATTCAGATTCCATATGTGCGAAGGATGGTACAATAAATCAAGCAAAAACTGAGAAATTCCACCCATTTTTAGTATATATATAATCTCGTGGATAAATTGGTAAAAGTTTGTGTTTTTGAAGCCTGGAGCCTCAAATAAAGGGGCCGTTCGGGTGACTACCCACGTTAATTAGCGTGCCGGGAGGAAAGGATTGGATCAAAAATTGCAATTCAATTTTTAATTGGACAATTTAAATTTAATTGGGAATGAAGGAAATTCTTCCCTACTTTAAAACTTGCATCAAATGCGAGTTCTATGCTTATCGTAGAATGCAGTTTAGAATAGTTCTTTCTTCGATTACATAACATAAAATAGCATGTTGATCTCGGCGCTGAAGTGTAGGCCTGATGTGGCCCGTCGCCGATTCTTTTCCTTTTCGTGCCTTGTTCACAGAAGATCTAATATCGTTTCATTTGACCAGATATTTTCATGACTGACGATAGTTTGAAGTAGCTACTAGACTTCCACCGGGTTCGATATGGTGCTAGGCATTTCAAATCTGAACATATATTTTTCCATAGCTTTATCTAGTCTGTTCTTGAACGCGTTCATACCTGGAGCGCCAACGATGTCATTGGGGAGGCTGTTCCACATGTCGGTGATTCGAAGCGAGAAGAAATTTTGTCGCGTGGAGAAGTTGCAGCGCAGTTATTTAGTTTATAACCGTGGCCGTTGGTTTTGGTTCTTGTTTTAAATTCTAGTAATCCTTCGGGGACCTTGTATAAACTATGAGTATACTTGTATATTTCAATGAGGTCCCCACGCAGACGTCGCTCACTGAGGCTTGGAAGCTTCATAATCTTCAATCTTTCTTCATAGGACTTGCCCTTCAAGCCTGGAATTATCCATGTTGCACGTCTTTGAACATTCTCTAGTAAATTTCTGTCCTTTTCAAATCTCGGTGACCACACAACGTTTCCAAACTCTAGATTCGGGCGCCTGACGGCAACAAACAACTGCTTCAACGCTTCTGCATCTAGGAACTCGTATGAGCGTCTGATTAGTCCAAGAAGTTTGTTGGATGTGTTAGCTTGCGTTTCAGCATGCTTAGAAAATTTCAGCTCCTTGTCGACATAAACTCCGAGATCTTTTTCCACACTAGACTTTTCAATCATTACAACCATGTCTTCTCATACTGTAATCTTGCTGTTCATTGTTTTCCCCGAGGTGAAGTACTTTACACTTGTCAGCATTAAACTGCAGCTGCCACGTATCAGCCCAGTTAACTAAACTGTCAAGATCATCTTGTAATTGCGCTTTATTTGACGCATCCTTCACTTTATTATAAACTTTTGTGTCGTCGGCATACATGGAGCACACGCTGGAGACTGCTTCTGGCAAATTGTTTATAAAAGCAACGAACAAAATAGGCCCAAGAACACTTCCTTGTGGCACGCCACTGCGCACTGATACCCAGTCTGACACGGTTCCGTTAATACTGACACGTTGTCGTCTACCTACTAGAAAATATCTGATCCATTGGAGTACGTTTCCCTCAATTCCCAAAGACTTCACTTTACGCAACAACCGCTCATGCGGAACACTGTCAAATGCTTTGGCAAAATCGAGGTACAATGCATCCACTGGCTCCCTTTCGTCCAGCAGGCGAGTCCAATCGTTTAACGTAGATGATAAGTTAGTGGTGCAGGATCTACCGGCGATAAAACCATGTTGACAATCTGATATGAGATGGTGAGCAGTCAAGTGATCGATAATCCTATCCCTAACAACAGATTCTATTAGCTTACAAACAACACTTGTCAGACTGACAGGGCGATAGTTGCCGGGGCTGCTTTTGTCAGCTTTTTTGAACAATGGTGTAACTTGAGCTTCTTCCCAGTCGGACGGCAAAGAATACTGTCAATGAAATGTTTGATTTTGAATTTAATTTTGAAAGAATATGTTTGATTTTGAAAGAATACTGTCAATGGGCCGGCCAGAACGGTTGCTAATTCTCTGAGCAATCTGGGATGGAAGCCGTCTGGTCCACATGACTTGTTGGGATTTCGAGCTACCAGGCGCTTTAGAACCTCTTCTTCGTGTATTTCAAAACAAATTAACTTCGAGCCGACTGGGCGCTCCTCAATATCTGGAATACTGTTCAAGTCCTCATCTGTGAACACACTGCTGAAGAACTGATTAAGAACGTTAGCCTTGCCCTCATCAGAGGAGATCTTTCGTTGGTCTACTTTCAAATCAGATATACCGTCCTTTGACTTACACTTCGAACACGGACTGTTCTAGCCCACTTTTGGGTTTTTTTCTCCCCAAGATATGCCCCCTTATGGTTTTTTTTTGTTTTTTGCGTTTTTCAGAGTCGATTGAGGTTAGGTTGGTTAGGAAAAGTTTTTTTTTGTATAGAAAAATAATAGAAACTTGACCTAACTGGACCTAACCTTGATGATTGTTTGTTGAAGTTACTTAGTCTAGGTTTTTTTTACTATGAATCTAGGTTTTTTCTATTTTTTTTCTAGTTTTTTTTTGGGTTGTCTAGGTTTTTTTCCGAGTGGGCTCGACTTTTCTAGGTTTTCTTGGTTTTTCTAGGTTTTAGCCCACTTCTGGTATTCTGGTATTCTGGTATGGTCCAGTATGACCCTTATGGTAGCCCTTATGGTACTGGTTTCTGGTATTTATGACCCTTATGGTCGTTAAAGTGGGCTGAAAAAGCCCACTAAAGGTCGTTTTTTTAGACTGGGCTCAGCCCACTAAAAACCGGGCTCAGCCCACTACCAGATCCATAAAGGTGCGATTACCATAACTTCTATGACTTCAAAAAGAAGGCTTTCGGATTCTTTTTTTGCATTTTTAGCAATATTTTTTTCGAAGTTTTTCACTGCAGTGCGACAAACTTTTTTAGCTTGATTTCAAGCTCTGGCATATAGGTTATAATCAGACTCGCTGCGAGTTCGTAAATAACGCTTGTATGCTTCTTTCTTGGTCTTTAGTTGAGTCTTAACTGCACTGTTCATCCACTGGGACTTTTTGACTCCCCCAAGCGTAATCTTGAGTACACAGGCATCAACTGCAGACATAACCGTGTCTTTGAGAAACGACCATGAATCAGCCACATTCATGTCCTTAATACAGTCCGAAATATTCGCCGCATTCACTGTTTCACGGAGTTTATCATAGTCGCCTTTCGCAAAGTTCAAACGTTCACGCTTCCGAAGCGTCTTTTCTGCACAACACTTAATATTGAAAAACAATGATTGGTGGTGGCTTTTGCCCAACGGAGCCTCGTGGCGGGGCTCATCTATCATTGATTCTTCGCTAGTAAACACAAGATTTAGAATATTTGGGGTATGTTTACCCCTAAAATAGGTTGGCTTGGTGATGTTCTGGATTAAAAATGAGTCTCGCACAGACTCCAAGAACAAGGATGCTGGGTGATTCTCATCTCTTGGAGAAGATTCATCTGCCCAGCCTATTTCTGGATGGTTAGAGTCACCAACGATCAACGTATGCGACCTTCTGAATGACATGCTCGGTAAAAGGCTGTTTAGTACTTTATTGTTATCAGAGGAGCTGTTAGGTGATCTGTAAATGACCCCTATGAAAAGGCTATCTTTGCCTTTTAGAGTAAGTTCACACCACACTGATTCTCTAGCTGATTGATGCTCTGCAGATAATTTAACTTGCTGGGCCCCATAAGAGGTTCTAACCCACAGAGCAACACCTCTACTGCACTGCTCTTCATTTAAGTTATGAAAACAATCAAAACCTGGCAGCTGAAATTCAACAGGTAAAATTTTCCCCCCGTGATTTTTAGAGAGTGTTTCTATAATACAAATAATGTCTATACACTCGTTTGCGATCACAGTTAACAGTTCACTTTTTTTATTCAAAACGGAATCCGAGTTCGTGTAAAAACATTTTGAAACTTCTTGTGCACTTTCACTTTGATGTATGCGGTTACATCATACATTATTTACAGGCCTTGATCTACGGACATCATTCCTACTAATTACTTGTCCTCCATCTCCTCTGACTGTCCGTGAGTAGCCGGTGTTGTCTTGGCAGCTTGGAAGTGATTGACCTGATTTTCCGTGCCTTTCCGCCTGATTCTCTCCTGCCACTTCTTGCGAAAAACCGCCCTTCCTAGGGGGGGAATCTTTCTTAAAAGAAACTGACTTGTAATCAGCGGATTCTCCAAGCTTTCTCGCTGTTTTCAGCGCGCTCCAGACCTGAGCAGAATCCTTTACAGTCACCAGCAGAGGTATGAAGGTGTTGCCAGCGGCATCCTTCAAGCGTAGCCTCTTGCAAGATATAACATCAATCGATGTGTTGAGTACCTTGCTGCAACAGTCTACAACAAAGGCCGCGTCATCCATCACTCGGTCCTTCGCATCAGATGCGTTACTTTCAGGAATCCCAAACCAGACCAGGTTGGCCTTCCTACGTTCTCTATCAAGTAATTCACGTGAGCTTTCACTAGCGACTTCAGATAAGTCAGCTGTCTTTTTCTTTACTTTCATTTCTTCCATATTTTTCAATTGAGCCTTCACTTCAGTCAGCTCATTGCATAGCGAGCACACTTTGTCACTCAGCGGGCGCACCATCTCACTCAAGGAGTTTACTACATCATTTAACAATTTCGACTCATGGCCGTGCTCTTCAATCGACTCCTCTCTTTTTCGAGCACCAAGAGTTGATTTTTCGCAATCACGGCAAAACCAATGAAGCAATTAAGATTTCTGGAGAAATGAGTACTCCTTAGAGTTCAACTTCGAACAGCTGATACAAATGAGATATTCGCTTTGTTCACAGGTGACCGTCTGGACTTCGCTCAGAGAGATCTCTTTGCAGTACTTGCAAACTTTCATCTCTAGCTGGGCTGATTTGGTTTTATTTTTTATTCTAGAGGCCGTAGAGGGCTTTTCTCCAGAGACCGTAGAGTGCTTTTCGACTATCTTTTTTATTTTCTGTCCAGCCATTATTAAATGCAACTAGATCTCTTGAACGAAGAAAAGGACGGAGAGAAATACAGAAAAGGTCGGAGAAACATACAAAACTGAGTTGAGTTGAGTATAGTAAAGTTCCCTAAAAAATTTCGGCTGGAGTAACAGATGAGCTGCAGCTGGCGAGGGAAAGACAAGGGGTGACTTGGGGGAACAAGGGATCGACGCGTGAAGCGGGTGGAGAGGGGGAGGTGTAGAGTGGGGAGGGTATAGGAAGGCGAGGCCTGAGCGTCTCAAGGCACCGTTGTTCTCCGTGACAGGCGATCGACGAGGGTTCACAAGAAGTTACAAACTTTCCCTCGATTCATGCACGGCATTTATCGGGAATAAAACACTTGTACTAGCCGTTTTTCTCACTATTCGCACAATTTTTACTGAACTGCACTAAAATTGAACCTTTCACTGAAATCATTTCGGTACAAATTCGAAAGATAAGTCAAACCGGCATAGTAAAAAGTGAGAATTTTGGGACCCGCAAACACTACGTCCTCGATCACGGTCAGAACTCAACTCCCAAACCGATCAGCATCAATATTATTTACTCGATTCAGTATTACAGGATTAAAGGAATTAACGAACCCTAGCAAAGTCAGGCTAGTATTTTATATCAACAATTCTGTGGGTGTGCCAGATCTCAACCCCATAACTCACCCTCCTGCCAAGCCTGTCCGCCATGACGCCGCTGGTGATGGCCCCCAGCATCATGCCGGCGTTGTAGGCGGACGTCGTCATGGATGTCAGGAAGGACTTGTCGCACACCAAGTCAAACTGCAGCGTGATCTCGTAATAATTATTTTTTATGTCCGCATAGTGATAATTATCATAACGTCAACGTGAAAAAAATACAATATCCTAGGCATAATTTTGTGGCAAATTTACAATAATGTAATGTATTCACATAATCTCATGATAATCTAATAATGTCGGGTTGAAATCAGACCCAGAGGATCAACTGATGCCTTGAACACGTCGGGCGCGCGTAAGTATTACGGCGCTTGCGATGCCGTACCATCATAATAACCATGAACAATTTTGTGTGGAAGAACCCATGAACTGTACAGACCAGAATTATTTGTTGTCCTTATTTATAACATCACAGACACCAATGAGGATTATTGAAAGACGCAGTGTAATTGATCTATGGTCACGCCTATTGAAAGGTCATTCCGACACCCATTACCACTCTATGTACCCATCACCAATCACCACTCTATTTCACGTCAAATTACCACGTCACTCTCACGTCCATTGTCACGTCCATCGCCACGTCGTTCTCTGACACATTGTCACGTCCACTGTCATGCAATTCTCACGCACATTGTCACGTCATTCCCAGTGTCACGTCGTTCTCACGTCCATAGTAGTGGAGGACTGGAAGAGCTCGTGGTCGTACACCCAGCCGTGGTCGCAGCTTCGCACGTCAGCAGCAGCGAAGTGGTCGGCCTCGCACGTCGCGCCCCCAGACCGCGCCTCGTCCTCCTCGTCCCGCCATAGAGACGCTAGTATTTGGACGGGTCTTGATGCATACTGAGAAGAATATGATAAAAAATTGATGAAGAAGAGGAAATTTACGCAGATCTCTGTTTTAAGGCCCTGGTTGAGGGTCGCGAGGCTTCGAGCAGGCTTGGCTCTTCCCTATGCGTTTCTTCACAAATTAGAATAGACTTTACTCCACTCGTAAATGAGATGGCGATATGGCTTTTTCCATGCTTACCCAGCTATTTATTTATATGAAGCGACCAGTAACAAAAAATATGTAAACTTTGTATTAAAAGAGTTTTAATGAGAGGAAATTTCAAGAAACTTTGAATATTATTATTCATCAAGTCTGCGACTTTTTTTTACTTTTTTCGAGATGTAAACGGACGGTTGTAATTTTAATTTTCCATTGAATGGTGTACTCGGCATTCCTTGATCAGCCTCTTTGTTGTAAATACTCTTTCTCGAAAAATAGTTATGATCGAGCCTGCTGATACGCGGAGGGAAAATCCCGCATACTAGCTGCTCAAATGGAGGCGTTGTTGAAAGTTTGAGGGAAAAGAGACGTCGTAAATTACTCGACTGTCAGTTCACGACGGGTGGTATGGTGCCGGGAACTCAATGAGAGGCGAAAAATAATACGTGGTCGGTGGTCGGCCTAGTCCAATTTGTTATAGCCGACCGTTGGCCATTCCTCGGCCACCTGGAAGCGACCAGTTGCCGCGAGAAAGGGGCTGGCTAGGATATCATATTACAAAGAGTACAAGCTCGAGGGTAGCGACTGGCCGAGCTTCGGGCAGATCAAGGATTTTACACGATGGTCGCGAAAACCTCGCTCTCAGACTTCGCTCGGCTGTCAATCAGGGCCTTAAATAATTGGTAATTCTTATCTTCATTGAAGCCATTTTTATGAAATGAATATATTTATATCATCGAAGATACTAGGGTTATCATATTGAACGAGAATGTAAAATCTGAAGCAGGTATTAATTTTTACACCTAAAAACGCGATAAGAGTTGAAATTTGTTTAAAAAGAGTATAGGCTTCAGTTTCTATGGCCTGTACTTATATTCAACGTATATTATATTTTCCGCAAATTATTTTACGGACAACATTGACCATAGGATGCCCCAGTCCCTCACATTAAAGGCAATCGTCTCGTTGGTGAGTGGGGAGTGGTATTCACATTTGTCCCACTCGTTGTCTTCTGAAGGAGTGGTGAAGTTGAGAAAGTCGTCTTCGTAAGTCGTGTTCGAGGAGTCGCATGACGGCACGTAACATCTGCCACGAAAGCCAAACATTCTTTGTTATTACTGTGGATTTTAACGCTAGCTACCAAAAACATCTGTAAAAAAATTTTTTCAATTGGAACAGTTTTCAATGCGATTCTTCATCAATAAAGTGTCACTAATTAATCTAAGACCTAGAATTATAAATTTTTTTAATTATGCAAATATTTTGCAAAGTGATTTTTCGAGCAATTTGTGCGAGTCTAGAAGCGCTTAATGTCATTCATAGTCCTCGTATATTATATAATTATATAATTACCAGCAGAATTCTTTCGTATAAACATTAGTTCAAATAACAGTTCTTCATCAAAACAATATGTGAATATTTCATTCGTTGATCGAAGAACTACCAATATAACGCAAAGGCAACCGCAATGTCAAGCGCATGTTTGAGGCAAGCAGATGAATCAAATAAAAAACGCTCATCCTGATCTCGTACCGAGCGAGACAAGTGATCGTGATAATAGACAGCCTAGTCAGAGAAAACAATCTCATCTTGAATGCCTCTCAAGTGAAACTTATTATGATCGTGATATTTTATTTTGCAACTGAAATCAACAAACCATCGTCTCACTTCAGGATTGACTGTAAAATGTAATTTAGAGCCGGTCAAATAACAAGTGATCTCACGTGCATGTCGATCCATATATTTTTTATGCATTCGCATGTTATTCACTTGTCGTTTTGCATTATTTGTTTATATTAACATTTTATTTTAATAGAATTCCAAACATTAAAACCACAAAAAACTCGTTCAAAAACCGATCAAAGTTTTGATGGATAATCTTCATATAAACATCCTGTATTGTTGTCCGCCTTGTCTGAATATCATCTAGTATCTTCTGTCTTATCTGTTTCCTGACCGCAAGTTTCGGAACGTTAATTCCATAACTCTCTCACGTTGTTCAGCACCTTTAGTGCCTCACGTGGTTTATACCCTTCACTGCTCCACTGTAGTTCATTTCCTTCATTGCACCGCTGGTGCTCATCTCCTTGAGTGCCTCACTGTCGTTCATCACCTTCACTCCTCTATCATTCATCACCTCCACTGCCACACTGTCGTTCATCACCTTCCTTGCCTCACTGTCGCTCATAACCTTCACTACTCTATCATTCATCACCTTCACTGTCCAATATTGTTCATCACCTTCACTGCTCTGTCATTTATCACCTTCACTGCCCTTCTGTAGTTCACCAGCTTCACTGTCCCACTATCGTTCGTCACCTTCACTGCACTATCATTCATCACCTTCTCTACCACACTGTCGTTCATCACCTTCACTGCTCTGTCATTTATCACCTTCACTACCCCTCTGTAGTTCACCACCTTCACTGCTCCACTGTCGCTCATCACCTTCATTGCTCTGTCGTTCACCGCCTTCACGCCTTCACTGTCGGTCACCACCTTTACAGTGACAATATGACAAGGTGGCTAAATAGTACAATACACACATCGCCACTTCTTTGATACTTATTTTCATGTTTTCTGGTCCAAACTCAATGTTCTCCAACCCTCTTCCGCTTGGCAGCTCCTGGAGAACTTCAATTTCATTCTCCTCCCTTGAGTAGCGATTTTTACTGAACACTTATTCAAACTGCGATCCCAGTAACTCACACATGCCATGGTCATCTCCGACAATGACTTCGTTATCCTTAAGCGGGCCCACTGGCGTCTTTATTTTAGCCTTGGACTGAGCATATTTAAAAAAATACTTTGGGTTCTCTTTGATGACTTCAACCACTCGCTCTTCCGTGGCTTCTTCTTCCACCATGTGCGAGTCCTGCAGCCTGAGTTCAATTTCCTTGTGCAAATCTACTAGTCTCTGTCTCCTCATATCACCAGTGGATTCAGCTATTTGTTTATTTAATTGCTTGCGTTTTCTCATAAGGATTCGTCAGTCTCCCGGAATGCTGCGGACTTTGGGCCTGTTTTTCTCGGGGTATGACGCACACATACCTGTGCTAGTTTCTCACGCAGTTTTGTTTAGATTTCCTCAGCATTCATCTAGTGAAACTCCGCTCTCCAATAGATTTCGTCAATTTCATTCCAAATTGCCACCCAATCCTTTATTCGATTGTGGAAGTTAAGTCCTGCCAGTCCCTTTGGGGTATAGACCTGGGCTGGGTTTCAATTCCATTGTTGTTTCCACCATCATTAAGCGATGGTCAGACAGTGAGGTTTCTTCAACCCGAACGTCAATCACTATTCTTTCATTATTTGTAAAGACGAGATCGTGGATATTGTGTTCTCTTGTCGGCGAACGTACCTGCTGACTGAGCAAGTGTTCCGCAGCAAACTTCAAAAGTTGGGCTTCTTGACTTGTGTCGCGGTCATCGACCTCTAATCCGTCTGGGCTTGCCCGAAGGATTCGTGAGAGATTAAAGTCCCCCCAATTATCAAGCTGGAGGCTGGGTCACCCAGTTCAGCCACCCTGGTCTCTATTTTCTTGAAGTTTTTCTTGATATTTTCATGCGGACAAGCAGGTGGTCTGTAGACTGTGGCTACACACAGGTCAAACTTTTTTGCGTGGAGTAGCACATGTACAGCAAAGCCGTCAGAGTTTCGAGATTTCGATCTCAATTCTACAGTGCTTCTTGCGAGGAAGATCCCAAGATTGACAATTACTCGGGAGCAAAGCCAGGCACCACCAATTTTGTGCACCAATAAGCCCTGAATCGAACGCCTTGGATCTCTCCGGACATCCACCAATCAGCCGTGAACCACTCGGCTTTGTCTTCCTCCGGCCTCGCATAGAACCTGCCGTGCACCACCAGGCAGCGGATCGAATCTTACTTCCGGGCATCGTTAAATTACGTAATTTTACGTTCACCGCATCTAAGGTTGGGTTTCAGCGAGCATAGTTCGGTTCCAAAATTTATCGTCCTTCGTCAAGTGGCCGTTTGACCATTTAAGAATGTTAATTCCGAGAAGAGTTTCACAGCGTCCTTGGGTGACGTATCAGTCACCAGCGAATACCGAGAGCATCGTAGCCTCGCATGCGTCAGTGCCATAACTTGTGACAACGTCACGCAAAACCCCAGTGTCATTATCGCTACTCCTGACACGCCGTAGAGACTAATACTGCAGGCTCGAGTCTGGGCAGCCGATCGCGCAGGGTCTGGTAGACCGACAACGGTATTACCGATATTATCGCGCCAGTGTCAACGATACAGGACTCGTCCTGCCCATTAATAGACACGACAACATCAACCTGGTTCGAATTCTTCGACGCTCCGTCAAGCGCCGAAGTTTTTTATTCCTCGGAGTTGGAGGCGTCATTCCCCCAGTGAGTCTTCATTTCTTGACAGACAACTTCAAATATAATTTCTATGATGGCCACACGGGTTAACAGTTTGAGAGGAGCATTACCGCAGTAAACGCGGAGAGGAGCAGTAAACATACTACCGCAGGAGCGTCGAAGTAAACATACTACCTATGAGCAGAAGTGTGGGAGTATACATACTACCTATGAGCAGAAGTGTAGCTAGGTGTTAAGTGTTAACATACTACCTATGAGCAGAAGTGTAGGAGTAAACATACTACGTATGGGCAGAAGTTTAGGAGTAAACATACTATCCATGGCAGGAGGTTAGGAGTAAACGTACTACCTGTGGACAGGAGTTCAAGGGTAAACATACTACCTATGAGCAGGAGTGTAGTTCAGGAACGAATCTTGCAACGCGGGCATGCCCACAAAGAAGACTGTGAGGTAGCTCAGCGCTGCTATCAACAAATGCGATCGTCCGAAGCTGCCTAGTCTGTTGAGCGTAGCTTCGACGTCCATCTGGGCCATGCTTCCATGAATCCAGACTTAAGTGTGGACTCTTCGATCAATTTAACTGATGAATATTATTCTGTTTCAGTTTTAAAGTGGGCCTGATGTTCATTGAAAGTAGAAACAGCCGGAGCGTAATTTGAATTAAGAATCAAATCTACAAGCCACTGCAGAGACCTCTTTTATGCTGGCCTGGTCAGCGCAGCAAAGTAAATTTTCTGAACCTTTACTTGACCCACTGCTAAGCCTTAAACGTGCCCTAAAACAACTCCTAAGTGAATATTGAATATTATAAAAGAATTTTTCAAGTAAACTTCAATCATTAATTCGCACACAAAAATTACCTAAACTTGGGATACGAAGCACACGTGATTAAATTTTAAAGGTCAAAACTGCATTTATATCTTATGTTTTGAATTGTAAATCTGAGCTTTGCAGCTGCAAATGCGATTGTTATGTTTCAAATAAATTAATAGAACTCAAACTAACTTATTGAGCTTGGTTCGCATAAATCACCAGTCGCAATTATAGAAACTAGTTGAGAACGCGGAGAGAATCGTAAAGTTGTGACACAATGAAAACGTAACAATCGAAAGACTGGCATGGCTTATCGTTCCTCGCGTCGTATCAACAAAACAGAGCTGCCTATCTTACCTATCAGTATTTCGAAGATACCGGAATCTACCAGTGGTTAAAGTTCAAAGTACCAGGATTGGAGCAGAAGTGCGGGTTCAATCCCAGCTTAGTGCGCCAGTTTCTGGTCAAAACCGGCGATGAGACCGGGCAGTACAAAACAATACAAAATGGGAGCAGTGAGTTGCGAGTTCGAGACGGCAGCAAACTATTAATATTCTGCGATGTTGAAAATCAGCGACAGGCCCACGGCATAATAAACGCTCAAACCGTTTTTTTATTAATAATAATATTATTATTATTACCAATATTATTATTGTTATTATTAATGTTATTATTATTATTAACATTATTATTATTATTATTAATTTTATTTGTATTATATCAAGATATTTCTCAGCACTGTAGAGGGCAGTGTGTGTAATTAAACTCTGATGTATGTTAAAGTTCATTGTTAGTATATTGTCTACCTCGGAACATGGTTAAATATATGTAGGACATGCTATGGGAGAAGAATAAATTGAAGAAATAGGGACGGCAAATATTTGTTATTACTACGGCCAGAAAGTTTTCATGTGGACGCAGTGAAGAATATTCCCTGCATTCAAGTACGCGGTTATTGATCTTCCTGCTGGCACCAACATTTGAACAAATAAATTATTTATTTATTGGTATAATCAAGGATTAATTACCTCGATTCAATTTATTAAATCATTATTGAATGAAAAAATAGACTGTTTCTGGAAAGAATGGTGAGAAAGATGAATTTACATTAATTATTGTTCGCACCTAATAGTTTGTATAATATTAAGAGAGTTATTTTTCTATAACGTTAACTTTAAGACACATGTAACTGTTGACGCGACTATAAAATACTGTGTCATTTTTTGAAGACAAGAGGACTATGACACCGCCACTATTTTGTGAGGAAAAATGCCATGCATATAGTTCATAAAATAACTTGATTGCACCTCACGTAAAGTCAGAAACATAATTTACTAAAGGTCTATTTTACGTCTAATATAGGGTAAACGTTCTAATCAATACGCAGCTGACAAAGGAAGGTTGATATCAAGCACTTCAACGCTTTTTAGGCCTATGTATTTCAACGTATTTTAGGCGCAGAAATTATTTTCCCTCCTTTAGAACATTCGCATCAACTTTTCCCTGGGCACTGTTGTCCTATAACATAATAACAAAATGATATAATAGTCAAGACTGCAAGAAGGTTTACTCTTACTGCTAGTAAAAAATTCTAAGCAGTGAACATCACTTCAATTGTATCATTATATCTTCTTGTCTAATAATGCCATTCTAAGCTGTGAAAATCAATTCACTTGTATCACTATACCGGATTGTCTAATGAAGTAATTTTCAAGTGAAATGCAATCATCGTTATGCACGATATTTTGGTTATGGCTGAGGACAGCAGAGTCGAATGTTCTGTGTTCTAGGCGCAGCCTGCCGGCGCTTTCAACGTCTGCACATATAATTCCTTTAAGTTCAGGTTCATTTATCTACTCCGTGTTTAATTAATTCCTCTAAGTTCAGGTCCATTTATCTACTCCGTGTTTAATTAATTCCTCTAAGTTCAGGTCCATTTATCTACTCCGTGGTCAATTTATTCCGTGGAGTTCAGGTTCATTTATCTACAAGGTTAGCTTATTCCGTGAAGTTCAGGTTCATTTATTTACTCCGTGGTGAATTTATTCCTTGAAGTTCAGGTTCATTTATCTACTATAAGTGGTTGATGCATTTCTTGGAGTTCTAGTTCAATTATAAACTACGTGGTTGATTTATTCCTCGATTTATCTAATCCGTGGTTTTTTATTCCTTGAAGTTCAGGTTTATATATCTATTCCGTGTGCAATTTATTCCTTGAAGTTCGGGGTCATTTATGTACTCCGTGGTTAATTCCTTCCTCGAAGTTCAAGTTAATTCATTTACTTCAAGTTTCAAATATTTCATTTTGTGGTGATTTATGCACCACAGGAACTCGGTGCTCTCTTTAACCAGTTTATGCTGGTCGTTAACCCAAAATTTAATTTCTAGCGCGTTCCTAACTTGAGGAGCAGAATGGATTCTAGCCGGCGTCTTTTAGGCTGACTGTTACGCTAAATTATAATAGTATATAATATCGGTTAGAATTAAGGACAAATTCGCCTGTTTAATTTTCAGATGGGTATAATTATCGACGGTTAAAACTGGCAAAATTCAGGCAAAGTAAATTTCCTATAACTATTATATGTTTAAAATAACATTTACCTTCTGTGCGTTTTAGTTCTAATAGTTTACCGTTCGCTGATTCTATAAATATTTCTTTCCTACGGCATAAAAGTAGTATAGAGACCGAGTTTATGATCACAATCTACATAAACAGCTTAGCAGTTAACGATCATTTACCCAAAATCTTACCCAATAAAATTGACCAATAATTACCCCCAAATAAAACCTGGTCATTTACCCACAATTTTATTTAGAATTTTGACCATCAAAAATTTGAGCACTGTCTCCTGATCAAAAGCCTGACAATTTACCCACAATCTCTCTCAGAATCTCGGCCACTAAAATCACGAGTTAGCGACCAATTACCCCCGAATAAAACCTGGTCATTTACCCACAACTGCATTTAGAATCTTGACCATAAAAAATTTGTGCACTGTTTTCTGATCAAAAACCTGACCATTTACCCATAATCTTTCTCTGAATCTTGGCCACCAAAATCATGAGTTAATGAGCATTTACCCACAGTCGACCGCGCACTTTTTAACCGAGAACTCAATAAAGTTTGGAAACTTTCCGTTTCTAATAACGCAGGACTTAATGTACAGCGAGCAAAATCGTTTTAGTGAATGGGTTAATTTGACTTGAGCTGATACATCCACATGAATCATCGGTCTGCTCAGCATGTTCGATCTATTCGTTGTCCAATGTATAATAAAATTTGAATTTTCTCCATCGTTAGCACTTTAATCGTTTAAAATTTAGATCACCATTTAAGCTATTTTTACTTAGAATTAGATCACCATTTAACCTATGCTTACCACGGTGGCAAAGTTCACGCTACACGAGAGGTAATGGATTTAATAGCAAATATCAAAACAATAAATATTCGGTCGACTTCCAATTTCATTTGTGAGTACTTGCAAAACTCACCAAGATTCCAGATGTAATCAACTCGTCCAGTTTCCTAAGCTTCAACGAAGTGTGGTGAATGCATGAGTTATTACGTGCGTATGAAGGCAGAAAATCGCTGATAGCTTGCAACAAACTACTGTAGGGTGTAGTTCGTTTCTTCGTTGCACAGCAAGAAAGAGATAAACATTTATAACTAAATATTTGAAGCCTCGAATCTTCAAGAAAAACTTGTGTTTATGCATCACGCTGTCTTCTAAATTATTTCAAGTCAATAATTTAACTAAAGCCTATAACTTCAATAGACTTCTGTGTAATATGATTTTCAAATTCGAGTTACCTCTGAAGAAAATAAGTTAGTCTCAATAAAAGACAGTTGCTTCATACAGAAGTTAATGTCAATATCACATGAGTTGCCATTTGGCAATAATAAGTAATTTCTTTTATCTATTGTACAGTTATTAAAAAAGTGAATAATTCAGGGCAGTTTCATAAAATTAAATCGTTATGAATCAAATAAAAATTAAATAAAAAGTGGTTCATCATTGGATTAACATCGAGTTCTGGTAGGTTCATTCTAAATCAAATAATGCCAGAGCAAGCACGCAATAATCATGTTTGAAAGTTTCCTAATTTCGTTAACAAACACTTTCATTTGCAACCAAATTAACAGATAGAGCCAGTTCCAGTCACATACCACCGACTCACTCAATGAGACCATTAATTAACATATCAAAGATCAGTTACATAGCAAGCAAGGAGATCATTTCCTACGTATTTTAAAGAATTTGAAGCTCACGTTGTATTCTGAGTTCCTAACCGTAAGTTGGGTTACCAACTTATACCGTGCGTTGTGGGAAATGAGCAATGCCACTACATAATAGCGCTACATAATCTAGTTGAACATTTTACTTTTCTAGCACCTAAATTTGAGCACCGAACACACGAGAGCAACTAGGTTAAGTAATAACCGTAAAGCACGGACTGAATTTTTTCATCGATGTTTGGAGCCCCGCTGAATCCTAAGTTCGGAGCCCCGCTGAAAAGCACGAATAAATACCCATTAAGGACTTGAATCATCACAACACTAACGAATGAATATAGCACACAAATAATAAACTAATATAAATAAAAATACTCAATATCACCAGAAAGGCCACCACTACATCAACACGGAAGATAAACACGATAAACAATGCAAGTCCTAACCTCTGTGGAGGATTACATAACAATGACAAGATACAGCGCGGGTCTACACGAGGTCACGTAATAGTTACCTCATAAACGAAAATGACAAACAGGTAACCTAACTATCAATGAAATTATTATATTTAAAGGCAGTCCCTAACAATGTAGGTGCCGTTAGGTGCCTGATTTGCCTTTAAGCCGAGTATGTTCATTGTGGGGCGGCCCCTAATAGAACGAAACATTCGACAGGGTAACAGCCGTGTGTGAAAATTTCATTCAATTTTGTACGCCTAATTACTTCATAGTGAAATAGTTACTTTCTCCTCCGAAGTTTGACCTAAATCTTATCTATTAACAGTATTACGTCATCACGCACGATCAATATTTTCGGGGTTCAAAAATATTACTAAATTAATTTCAAATTGGTCCTTTGCTGACGAAAGGAAAACAATTTAACTGATCACATTACACGAGTTCAAGGCATCAGAATATAAAGCATTCAATTTGAACAGAAAACATAACATTCTTCGTATATGAAGGATTAGATCATTTCCATATTCTGAATTACGTCTTATATGTATTTTAGTGTCTATTTCTTTGCGTTGAATATCTTCCATCGTCCATCCTCTCTGAAGCCGGCTGTGTCTACGCGTTGGTGATATTTAATTTCTACGTCGTCCTCCATCTTTATTTGCTACGTCAAGTTCTGTGTCATCCTCATATTTGTAAAGTCAAGTTTTACGTCGTCGTCATTCTTGCTACGCCAAGTTCTAAGGCGTACTCATATATGGTACAGCATCCTGTTTTTTTTTTGCTTCGGCAGGTTCTACGTCGTCTTCATTTTTTTAAAGATGAGTTCCTGTCGTTATCTTCTTTTACGCTAAGTTCTATGTCGTCATCAACTTTAGCGGGAAGTTCTACGTCATCATATTTTGAAAAAAGTTCTACGTCATTATCTTTTGTGGCAAGTTCTACGTCGCTTTCATCTTTTGCGGCAAGTTCTACGTTATTTACATCTTTCGCGGCAGGTTTACCGTTCACATCATCTTTTACGGTAGCAAGTTCTACGTCGTCATCATATTTTCCGGCAAGTTCTACGTCTTTTTGATATTTCGCGACAATTTCTGCGTCGTCCATGTCTTTATCTACAAAAACTTCTATAATTTTATCTGCCTTCTTTTCCCCTGCAGACCGCGGGTCGTAGGACGAGCAGCTGGGGAAGAAGCAACACGGCTGACCTCTGTCGAAAACACAGAAGCAAATACAGAGCTATGCTTGGACTTATCTTAAACACTAAAACCATGTAATAATGACAGGATATATATTAAGCAGTTATAAAGAACTAAGATAATGAGTTGCATGATAGTCAGTTAAGTTTAAACTCCGCTCCTGTAAAACCTGACTCACGAGCCAAGTTGTTCACTCTCACTGAGAGTCTGCGTTAAGGGGCAACCCGTTGTCTCCGGTAGGAATAACATGGAGAAGGCTGATACCGCTGCCAGGATCCCAAACAAGAGCAGAGGAAGAGTGGGGTTTGATTTTCCCTGTAAGTATATGTGATGTACCAAAAAATTTTGAAGTGAACCACAGTACTTTAATTGTTTTATTAAATATATTAATTTCATACAGAAATTCATAATATACTATTAAATATTTCTATATATTTATAGAATATATATATTATATAATATATAAAGGTTATATATTAATTAATTTGATTGATGATATATGATTATAATATTGCTTTCATTGAAGACCAGAAAGTACTTCTTGATGAATTTTTTTATTGTTTTCCTATTCGGCGAATTAGGTTTATGATAGGAAATGTAAATTCGAATATAAATTTTACAAGGGACATTTTTATTATAATCTACGACGTTTCGAATGCAACAACATTCATTATCGATAGAGGGGAGAGTTTTGCAACACTTGAATTTGAAATTTTGATATGACGATAGTACAAACCTAAGGAATTATGGATACAGATTGAAATCAAAGCTTGAACCAACATCCAACGGAAGTATTATGATAATTTATTACCAAAACCAGATGACTAGAGGCTATGAGACAGACGAAAGAGACCTCAAATTAATTGTGCTGAATATCTTCAGAAGTACAATCGCAACCCGCCCGAATCAATATCCTGATTCAGTATAAAACACGAAACTTATTAAGAATCCAACAATGGAAAATAATCCATACAAAACGTCGGGACCATTATAGGAAACCATTGTTATTTACAAATATTCATTCCAAAAAGGAGGTTGAAGACTTCTCCAAAATGTAAATTACATCGGTTTGATCAGCACGACTTGAAGCCGCCGCCTAACATATAACTTCCAGAACAGAGGACCGAAGAACCACATGACAGAGGTCCTCCACATGAGACCCTTACTCGCGTGACGTTGTAGACCTACCACATGCACTCTAACGAATCGCTGCCTACCAACCATACACCAAAGTTTCTCTCCCGGATTGGGGTGGATAGCTAGAGGTCAGCATAGCCCAGGTCCACAGTGCGATTCATATACCTTCCCGAGCGTAACGCAGCCGGGCATCTTCACGGCTTTCAACACAAAGCGCCCACTACAACAGAACCGTTCAGTCACAGGCCGGAGCGCATACAGGCCGGAGCACAACTGGCCGGAGCGCAACAGGCCCTACCGCAACAGGCTACTTCTAACGTAATGTAACCTAACATAACCTGCGCCTCTGTTGCGGTAGGGCCTGTTGCGCTCCTGCCAGTTGTGCTCCGGCGTTGTGAAGCAGTGGCTGTGTTGTGCAAAGCGGATTTACTGTTAGCCGGAGTTATCCACAGCTAATTAATCTGAGGCTATGTGTAAACTTTGTTACCCACGGCTGCGCTCCCCCGGATTGTTCAAAACTGAGTTGGCACAGGTACGTAAAACGCCACTCAGCCAGCCGGAGCACGTAACTAAAGCTACTATTAGCGCATAAATAGGGTTGAGCGCTTCTATGAGGAAGCCTCACTACACTAACGACGGATAATAAGTCAGCTTGTGATCATTAATTTTATCGAAAGACATCAAAAGAAATTTTTCCACAGATAGAATAATGATGTCACAAATGTACTGCTAGGTAGACAGTTCGCATATGATATATAATGCTAAAATTTAAAGCATTTGAGAATATTTAAAAATTTTGGCAGTTTAAGCTAAATTCTAATTAAAGTATTCAACAATACATTGTGACCTTATGATGAGTTTAGGACTTCGTAGTCCATGGTCAAGCTGATGCTCAGCCTTCGTCGTCCTCCTTCTCCAAGTCGTCGATAGACAGGTCAACCCGCCCTCCGGTCCCCGATGTAACGTTGGGCGTGCTCGTTCAGTCTATTTGCCCTCCTTTGTGCCAGCTGATGCAAGATGCTGTTGCTTGTCACTTGCTGAGGGTAGTTTCCCATAACTGCGCAATCCGGGATCGTATTAAGAAACTTATCCAGGTGTCTCATGAAAATCGCAAGGGTAAAATTCCCCCTCTCAGCACCTTTGGTAAGGCGTTGAACAACCTTGTTCGTATCACGGTCAGTGATCACTCACGAACAGTCTGTACTCTTCTGGCCACGGCACGGTTATTGAATAGGGTATTCTCAGTCTCCTTCTCCTTTCATCGTAGTATGTCAGAATTATGGACGTCTCAAATTCAATGTTGGGAGCCTGTCTGGTTATCATCTTCCAAGTGTACAGTATGATATACCTCTCTTTTATCCTCTCCAGTGAGTACAGTCCCAGGTTTTCAGCCTTTCCCAGTAGTTCAGGTCCAGCTCCCTAATGCCGCTGATCCTGTACGTCAAGATCCGCTGCACTGCCTCCAGTTTCCACAGAGCACCCACCTTGAGCGGCGTCCAAAGCTGACAGCAGTATTCAATATTGGGGAGCACTAGAACTCTGAAGAGTGTAATCATTGGCGCTGCCCCTCTTGTTCGAAATGTTTGCCAGATCCATCCTATCCTTTGTCTGCCTCGCTCAACTATTACATCGATGTGGTCATCGAACGTGGCTTCGGTACACATCAACATTCCGAGATCTCGAACAAGTTGCTGATCTTCAATTTCTGTGAGATCCGATGCCAAGTAGCGCTGTGGCATCCCGGTCTTTGCGCCAACGCTGTCTCTCATTACTTCGAACTTGGTGCCGTTGAATTGCGTATTATTCGCTAGAGCCCAATCTAAGATTGTCTATAAGTCATCCTGAAACATCCTGTCCTCTGTGATCTCCATCAGCATTCTTGTATCGTCCGCAAATGACGATGTAGATGCGTGGTCAAGTTCCGGGTCGATATTGGCGATGTGGATGAGTAATAGTTTCGGTCCAAGCACCGAGCCTTGTGCACTCCGTTTACACGCGCGCTTCTTTCGATTTCGAGTTTACAATTGCGACAGCTTGTACTCTAGTTGTTAGGAAGTTATGGATCCACCTTAACAGGATTCCTCATATCCTCAACAGTCTCAGCTTTCTAAAGAGCACTCCATGGTCAACTTTGTCAAAAGCATTCCTCGCTCTACCAATTAATACTTTAGTTGGCATATGTCGAATTGTTATGTAACTTGTTTTGCTAAAAGCATGTCTAAGATATCATAGTCTCCAGGTTAATCTTTTGGCGCAGCTTCTACATACACTATTAGAATTGATGAATAAGTTTGAATTAGCTGTCGATGATCTTCTACTTGGCTCACCAATAACACAGACTGTAATCGAAGGGCTGTATGTTTCACATCCAATGAATTAAAAACCGTCTCTGTATTCGAGGAAATGTAAACACCAACGATGAAAACTATAGAGCCTGTGAATGTCGTACGTATGTTTAATCACTATTGCATGATATAATCAACATGTTATATTGTTAGTATTATAACGTTGATATTGCGGCTGGAAACAGTTTTATCACATGTGTTAAATTAAAACTTGTTGGTAAATTTGGCGTTTATGTTTATGTCCTGCGATGACATCATCCGCCGAGTGGCTTCGATCGAGCGATAGTTTTATAAATATTAAACGAAAACAGCGTACGCACATTTTTGGACTGGTTCGTTTAGTTTCGTTTAGCCATTAAAACATATTAGCTGTCTACGCTCAACGCGCAGACTTTTTTCAGTGCAGTATCGTCATGAGATGCCCAGACTCCACAAGACTGGCGATAGCTGATACTCTCATCCACAAGACTGGCGATAGCTGATGCTCTCCTAATATAAGTTTGCAAACTGCCGGATTTGTAAGGACGTCGAAAAGGTTCTCGTAATTCAAGCTTTGATTTCAATCTATATCCACAATACCCTGTGTTTTTACTAACATCTTTTCATTAGTCTTTCTGCACTTGATAACGAAGGTAGTCGTGAGTAGTCATTCATAACTAAGTAGTCATAATGAAAGTAATTATTCGAAACGTCGTGAACGATAATTAAGTTCCCTTGGAAACTCTATATCTGTTTTTTTCCGTTTCTATCAAAAGCCTAATACGCCGAATAGAGAAAAACAATAATAAAATTGTCAAGAAGAAGTACTCTCTGGTCTTCAGTTAACCCGGCATTAAAGAACAACTACTGCCTAACTACACCAATGATTATAATGTGTAGATATTCTACATTATTATTTTTTGGTTTAAGACCTATTGGTACCACATTATTCTGTTCATTATTTGGGTCATTATTTCAGATAAAATACCAGCAGGTCGACCAGAGGAGCTATGACACCGGCGGCCCTAGCAAACATGGAGCAGCAGCCGAGCCCTGTGCTGCGGTGCGACGTCGGGAACACCTCGCTGCCGTACACGTACAGCGCGCCGAACGCTGCAGCTGCTCCGAACTTCCCTATGAGGCTCAGCACCACGATGGCGGCGGACGCCTCTGCAGGAATGGGTAGGTAGGTAAAGCTCCATTCCAGTTCATTCCTCCAAAATGAAGAAGCAGCACTCTACTCAACTAACTCAACTAGCTACAGCACTCAAGTTACAGATGCCCTATCAAATAAACCACCAGCAAAGAAACTTGTTTTCTGGAAGTACCTGCAAAAGAAATGTGAACACTGGCAAAAGGGCGATGGCTGCAGATGTTTACATTCCAGAATGTGTTATAAATTCTGTACCTACGGAAGCGGGCATCCACGAGGGGCAAAAAAGAAAGAGACTGCGCGTTCTATCACCCTAAGTTGTGCTGGAGTGTTATGCAGAAAATTGCACGAATGAAAACTGCAGGTTTCTTTACACAAAATCGCGGAAGCGAACGGAGGAAGCCGACAGAAGAGGAGGCAGCAATGATTCACCCCCACAACGAAGGGCTCCTGCTGGACGCCAGCCCACTCCCTCACCCTCACAGTCCCCATCATCACAAGGAAAACAGGGCAGTGAAGACAGGGTTGCGGGAAACACTGGAAAAAGGAGCGGTGAGGAGAGTAGTTCTTGGAGAAGGAGAGATGACCTAGCTACTCCAGGGAGTGGTCCAAGCGTATGGGACAGGGACGCACGCGGGGGGCCAGAGTTTACCTACGGTGTTTTTTTTTAGAAATGAGGCGCAGCTGGAAATAATTCAACTCCAGATGCAGGAGCTGCTGGGCCAGGGGCGCCTGGCAGAGTAATGGAGACGCAGGTAAGCGCACCAATAAGGGAAGAGTCTGGCATTTTGCTGGCTAACATCGAGGGGCTCTTCCCACTGAGAGCGCGTCACAAGATTGGCGTGCTGCGTGAAATGACCGACGTGGGTGGGATCATTATGATTGCACTAATGGAGTCGCACCTAAGAAAAGATATCCTCGAAGCAGGAATTACAATTGATGGATTCCAACACTACCGTGGACCGGAAAGAAGGGAGAAAGAAGGGTGGAGTAATTGTCTACCTTAGGAACTCCCTCGCAAGAAGCACCGTAAAATTGAGATCGAAATCTGGAAACTCTGACGGCTTTGTTGACAGGTGCTACTTCACATAAAAAAAATTTGACCTGTGTGTAGCCATAGTCTATAGACCGCCTGCTTGTCCGCCGGAAAATTTCAACAAAACCCTTAAGGAAATAGAGACCAGGGTGGCTGAACTGGGTGTCCCAGCCCCCAGCCTGATAACTGGTGGGGACTTCAATCTCCCACGAATCCGTTGGACAAGCATTGACGGCTTAGAGGTCGATAACCGCGACACTAGTCAAGAAGCCCAACTTGTGGAGTTTGCTGCGGAACACTAATTCAGCCAGCAGGTACGATCGCCGACCAGAGAACACAATATCCTAGTAATGAAAGAATGGTGGTTGACGTCCTGGTTGGAGATAGCTCACAGTCTGACCATCGCTTAGTGATGGTGGAAACGACAATTGGAATTGAAACCCTACCCAGGTCTATACCCCAAGAGGGACTGGCAGGACTCAACTTTCACAATCAAAGAACGGATTGGGTGTCAATTTGGAATGAAATTGATGAAATCGATTGGAGAGCGGAGTTCCACGAGATGAGTGCTGAGGAAATCTACAAAAAAACTGTGTGAGAAACTAGCACAGGTATGTGTGCGTCATACCCCGAGAAAAATAGGCCCTAAAGTCCGCAGCATTCCGAGAGACCAACGAATCCTTATGAGAAAACGCAAGCGATTAAATAAACAAATAGCTGATTTCACTGGTGATATGAGAAGAAAGAGGCTAGTAGATTTGCACAAGGAAATTGAACTCAGGCTGCACGACTCGTATAGGATGAAAGAACAAACCGCGGAAGAGCGAGTGGTTGAGGTCTTCAAAGAGTATTTTGAAAGTATTTTTTGAAATACGCTCAGTCCAAGGCTAAAATAAAGACGCCAGTAGGCCCGCTTAAGGATAACGAAGTCATTGTCGGAGATGACAATGGCATATGTGAGTTACTGGGATCACAGTTTGAATCAGTCATCAGTAACTTCCGCTACTCAAGGGTGGAGAATGAAATTGAAGATCTCCAGGAGCTGCCAGGCGGTAGAGGGTTGGAGAACATTGAGTTTGGACCAGAAGACATGGAAATAAGTATCAAAGAACTGGCGACGTTTTCAGCACCAGGACCCGTCCGAATTGCGGCAGTGCTGTTGAACGTGGTATACCTAGACTTTGCTAAAGCTTTTGGCAAAGTTGACCATGGGGTGCTCTTTATAAAGATGACGCTGTTGGGGGTAGGAGGAAGCCTGTTGAGCTGGATCCACAGCTTCCTTACAGATAGAGTACAAGCTGTCGCAATCGAGAGAAGCCAAGGTGGAAAGCGGAGTTCCGCAAGGCTCAGTGCTTGGACCGATCCTCTTCCTCATCCACATTGCAGATATTGACTCGGAACTCACCCACGCATCTACATCGTAATTTGAAGAAGATACAAGAGTGATAATGAAGATCACAGATGACCTAAACTGCGAGAGTTTACAGGATGACCTATCGTCTATGATTGGGCCCTAGTGAATAATATGCAGTTAAACTGCACCATGCGCAAAGTAATAAGATACAGAGTCCGCACAGAGATCGGGATGCCACATCGCTACTTTGTATCAGATGGCACAGAAATTGAGGAGATGCAACTAGTTCGAGATCTCGGAGTTTTGATGAGTACTGAAACCACGTTCGATGCCCATATCGAGGAAATAGTCCTCGCGCAGCCGGCAACGGATGAGGTGGATATGACGGACATTTGGAATAAGAGAAGCAGCACCAATGATTACACTCTTCAGAGCCCTTGTTCTCCCCAATCTTGAGTATTGCTGCCATCTTTGGTCACCACTCAAGGCGGGTGCGTTGCGGAAACTAGAGGCAGTGCAGCGGACCTTTACTTGCAGGATCAGCGGCATGAGGGAGCTGAACCTGAACTACTGGGAAAGGCTGAAACACCTGGGACTGTACTCACTGGAGAGGAGAAAAGAAAGGTTTATCATACTGTACACTTGGAAGATGATAACCGAACTGGCTACCAACTTTAAGAATGAGACCTCCAGAATAGTGACACGTTACAACGAAAGGAGGGGTAGACTGTGCGAGGTTCCCCCATTTAATAACCGAGCCACGGCCTGAGTACAAACTCTCCGTGAGGGATGACTGTCCGTGGTAGGACCGAAGCTCTTTAATGCCCTGCCAAAAGAGCTGAGAGGAGGGGAGTTCACCCTTGCAACATTCAAGAGAAGACTGGACAACAGGTTGAGAGAGATCCCGGATTGTACAGTAATGGAAAACTACCCTAAGCCAGCGACTAGCAACAGCATGCATCAGCTGGCACGAAGGAGGGCAAATATACGGCACGTCCAACGTTGCATCTGGGACCCGAGGGCGGGGTGACCTGCCTAGCGACGACTCGGAGACGGGAGACGACGAAGGCGGCGCATCAGCGTGACCGGGGACTAGGAAGTCCCGAACTCGTCATAAGGTCATAAGGTCACTCGAAATGTACGTTGATTAACTGCTTGGTAGAACTGGAAAGCTGCAAACACTCCTGATGGAAAGTGTCCGGGATTAGTTTGTGGATACAAATCCCTATTTGTTTACCAGCAGACCTAGTTATATTTGAGTGCACTGTGTCACTGAGGGTTGCCTTAGACGCTGAGTCGTCAGCTTATACAGCTTATGTGTCACGAATACAAGAGCTCTGTGGGCGAATGTACTACGTCTATAAAACAGTTGGGCGCTATAGTAAGTAATACAGATGATACGGATTATGAGCCACGAGTTCAAGGGCTCTGTGGGCAGAATTACCAAGTTTAAGAAAGGGTTGGGCACTTTAGTAAGTCCCCAAATGGCACGCATCTAGCCTGAACGACCGCCATGATGAAGCACTAATTTTTATAGTTACTCCGATCTGATGGTCGAAGACTGAGGGTCGTATCCAGTCTGTACCTCTGTAATGTTTTTGTAGCCCGTCCGCCACGATGTAGCACTCATTGTTATTGTTACTCCGACCTGGCGGTTGAAGTCTGAAGGTCGTATACCAGCCTGTAGCTCTTTAATGACTCTGTAACGTATCGGCACCGTATCAATATTAGTTTTAAATAAAAAGCTTCTCTACTCAACCCTCACATAGTCATCAAATACATGTCCTCAAGTTAAACTCATGAAGCATAGCTATATATTGCCTCCTGACAAATAACTATATATTGCCGAACATAGGATTTCCCCTCGACAAAAGGTGTTAGCAAAATGCATAAATTGTAAAATTTCTTGGATGGACATTCAAAGCTGATGGAAGGCTGGTCAGTTTGATTGAAGTTATCACTACAACAACGTTACAGTGAAGCGAATAAAATAGAAGTTCAGGTGATATTTTATGAAGTAATAAACCGACAGTTTGACAGCGGATCATTACCCTATTTACAAACAAGTTTTATCTTTTAACCCTTTCGTAACTGAGACATGTATTTCCTACCTTGCAGGTATAATTCCTCATTACCTTCAGTTAAGATTTCATTGGATAACCTGATTCATCTCACCAGCAGGCCGGAGTCGTGTTTAATTCTACCTTAACTCAATTTTAGCCTTAAAGCCCTTAATACAATATCCTTGTTCATCTCACCCGCAGGCAGAAAGGCAGTAATGAAGCAGCCAGCCCCGGCTATTAAAACCGACGCCAATAGACACACTTTGTGACCAAGTCTGATAAAAATAAAACGAAATATTAAAAGATCGATTAATAAATAAATTTGAGTTTTCAATCAATAAATTTTGAAATTTGTTTAAAATTGCAATACCTTATTTGTAAACCTATCTTCAGAATGATAATTTCAAATTTTCAGTTGGTACAATATTAGCTACAATACGGTGAGGTCAGATGGGAGGATATCAAGATAGTGTGCATAATAAATTTTGCGGCACATTAGCAAAAAATGATGGAAAAATAATACCTGCAGCGACCAAGCAGACGTGCAGGGGTTTATTGATCAGCATGTTGTAACAATTTTCATGTATAGTTGACACTTGTATATTGAGCAATAAATTTTGCATCGCAAAAACCTATAGACAAATGAGGTCTCTGAATAGAAAATAAATTAAAGGTCACCTGTCGAAAACAATTGCAATTAGAAGAGTTGCAGGTATTTCGATGAGCATCGTGACGATAAAATTTACGAAAATGTTTCCCTCGAGGTTGCCAACGTTTTGAGAGATGCCGTAGTAGACCATCGACGTCGTGAACCTGAATTCATAATTCATTGTTTTTTTAATTTAATGTTCCAAAATTCCCCAATTCAGTGTTTTCCGACGTCCGCATGCGTCACTGACTTTATTCGCTTTCTTGTCTAATCGGTAACAATAATGGTTTTTAAGAAAAGTGGCTCAACTTTATCTATCGTTTAAATAAAATTAAAAAATGTAACGTATGTCTATGACTTCTTATATTGTGCGTAATGTCAGTCAATAGTAAATTACCGTTAAGAACAATTAGAGCGAAGTGATGGGAAGAAACAAATTTTTGAAAAAAGGTTTTCTACTAAGTATCGTTTATGAACGTCGAATCCCCCAGTTCATGCACGGGTGTTTTGTTAGGCTATGGTATTATATTTTGGGGAATGTATTTTTAGTGACTCAATTTTTATTTTAGGTTTGTAATACATACTGTAAGAACCAACTTACCAGGCATAGAAAAGGATCAACGAGCGCGTCCTCATATTTGGCGTTTTCAGTAAATTCAAGACGTTTCTGCTTTCTTGCTCAGCGTCATCAGGTGACATATTGGTCTTCTCTTGCTGCAAGGAAACAGTCAATCGTTATGTCATATGTCACACGAAAGTGAAGCAACTATTGCCATCTTATCCAAAGGAATAATAATTTGTTATATCAACAATATAATATCAAAGCAAATGATATTCTAGTCATAGAAGCGCAAGTTAATTACAAGTGTACTAAAGAACACAACATGGCCGTGAAATGTTTTAGATTATTGAGTGCATCTGGGTAAATGCTTTTAGTAGTATTGATAGTGAGCCTATCACGACAATTTTTCTAAACAGCTTAACAGCTTACCGATCATTTACCCAAAATATTACCCCGAATAATACCCATTAAAAATGGCCAATAACCCCGAATAAAACCAGATCATTTATAAAAACTTTACCTAGAATCTTGGTCATAAAAAATTTAAACACTGTCTTTCGATCAAAAAACCTAACCATTTGCCTACAATTTTGCTTCGAATCTTTCCATCAATGTCGAGAGTTAACGACCATTTACCCCGATTGACCGAATACTTTTTAACAGAGAGCCTTAAGCGTGAGCGAATGTTTTCATGGAAGATACTCTTGTGGGATGTATAATTGATATAAATTTTAGAAATACTTTCCAGAACCGGGGTGTTCATATTTATTAATCAACACAAAACTATGAGGTACTTTATACCTACGTTTCATTACACAGTTCTTGAAACTCGGCAAAGGGCATATCGCATGCAATGTAATCACTGTGAATACTCTTCATATCGATGAAAGGAAATTCGAAAAGAATTATTAAATTTTATTCGTTCTAATGGTTTGTCTTGATAATATGTAATAGTTTTGGGATAAGTAATTTGAACCAGTTATTATGCCTTCCTCGTGTGAAAAATTATTAGCAGGATTTTGATTTTTTTAGTAATATCATCAAAATGAACGAATTCATCTTCCTAGCATCTATATCACTGGGATCAGGTACAGAAGCAGTATTCTCAAAATATTCGATGGCACATTTTTATTAACGTTTTTTAGATAGCTTATGATGATATTCGTCAATATTGCAATTGCCGTCAGAAATTAAATCAATGATTTCAGATTTATTATATCCCTTTTCTAAGGCGTTCTTCAACAACTTATATTCAGCCTGATGAGTTGACTCGCTATACAGGAAAAGATTATTGGAATCAATAAAGTTCTCCATTAGCAACTTCAGTAGCAATGACGTTTTCTGTAGTTCGATCTTCAAATTATAAGACATCTCAAACATGGAGAAGGAAATACAAAATAGTTCCTCTGTTTATTTTTATTATCGTACTTCCACTTATTGTGCATTTTTAAAAGTTTTTGTTTCAAAAATCTTTTTCAATGTTTATTCTGTAATAATCACTTGAATTATAATCTGATTTACTTCAGTGGAGAGCTGGCGAATATCATAGCGAATATTATCAACATCAATTTGAATATTTGCAGGGGATATATCACTCATCTTCGGACATCTGTTATTGCGTCTTCCATTTTATAAGAAATTTCATCAAGCTTTTTTTCCTCCTCACAGGCTGCCTTGAATGACAATAGCGTGTAAATTAACTACTCTCAATTAAGTTTAATTTATTTCCAACATGAATCACTCTGTATTTTCGAATAGTTTTAATGGGCTTATCACGCTTGACTAGATGGAATGAGTTTTCTATACCGAAGCGTAAATACATTAAGTAAAGTGAGTTGGAACTCTTTTATTTATCAATATTTCTTTGTGTACATTAGCTCTCATTTTTATCAACAAAGATTAAAGATACATTTGATTACTTTATAAACTTGATTTAATATTTATATTTTCTAAAAATCAAGGTAGAGTTTTCCAGCGAACGCCTGTTCCAATATCCTCAACTTTTAAAGTCGTTCAGAGAACTCATTCTGCTTTTTCGCTACGTCTGCTACTTTATTCATGTAGTCATCTCTCCATGTTTCAACACCATTATTTTATGCTTTTCATTCAACTTGAGTTCCTGCTAATGAGGACACTTTTTCATCGAGGGATTTCAAATTATTCATTTGTTATCGCAATGTTGATTTTTCTCAAGTCATTTCCTGAGTTAATTTCATACCAAGATTTTCCAATTCTGTTTTTTACTTCAATCATTTCTTGAGTTACTTTTTTGTCATAATTTGTCATTTCCTGAGTTACTTTTCCATCAAGAGTTTCTACTATTGATTTTACTGCTGGCAATTCTTTCACGAGAGAGTTGATATATGCACCATGACATCCTCCCTCACTACATATATTTTTCATTTGTCATTTCTGAATCTCTTACATGAACATCTCAGACTTTTATAACCTCCTCATCAACATAACTCTTGCATGCAGCAGCCTTATCCTCATTTGGACAAAAGATATATGCAAGTCTCATATTATTCACATCAAAATTTTTTCAGCGTCGAGGTACTGAAAGCCAATACCTGGAGGACCTCTTGGATGCGCCATGGGCGAACTATCAATTCCTGTTCCAAATATATTAACACCAGTCATTTTAATAAAGTAAAACTTCTAAAGCATACAGACTTTCCCGAACTCATGAAGCTATAAGATTATTTATACGATCAGTTAATATTTTGTTCAGTTCTATATTTTTATCAATTTCATTTTGCAGCATCAATTTAAATTGATTGATTTTATTTTGACTAGATTATAATATCTTTGGAAGCTAATGAAATATATTTTTAATATCCTTCATCTCATTAATAAAATCTTCCATATTTGTCAGCTGAACTGAGCCAGCTCGTAACTCCATGTTTTGTCCAGCTCGTAACTCCATGTTAAGTTTTTAAATTTCGCATCGTTAAATGAAGCTAAATTTGACTCCAAGCCTTAAAATTTCTGATCAACTTCGGCAAAAGATACTTTTCCATCAATTTTTAACTCGAGGTTATGAATCCATAATTCAGAAATTATAAGCTTTTCATTTACTAAATCTTCAAACGCCAACTGTACTCTATGGCTCTCCTCATCAGCTTTAATAATCAGTTTCAAATTTTCTTCAATATGCAATTACAAATACGTGATTTTATCATCAACCGTTGCCAGCAAACTATTTATTTTCTCCCCAAATTGTTTCATTGGTTTATCCTCAAAACCCGTTTGTATATTTTTTATTCGGACGAGAGCGGCAAACTGATATTTTCTCATCAATTTGCTTGATTTGTTTTTCTGCAAAATTCAATTCCAATTTCCTGACTTTGTCACCGAGAGCTGACTGCAAACTGTAAATTTTCTCATTGAATTGTTTAATAAGTTTTTCTTCAAAACAATCGATCTGGTACTCAAAAATTTTATATATATCTGCAATTGCCGACTCTAAAAATTTCATACCTAAATCAGCATTATAAAACTCAATTCGTATCTCGTCGCTCAGAGTTGTAATAATTGAATTGTAGGTGAAATATTAAAGATTAAAATTATTTGCCTGGATATTAATGCTCGCTATTTTAGAAAGAAAAATGAAATAAATATATTTTAATACCCATTCCTAAACAGATCTAATAGGATGGTATCAAATCTCTCATACTCCAGTCGTTTTAACTATTTTTTAAATTTAACTCCAGTCGTTAAGTATCATTTTCCTTATACCAACAAGTCCAATGCATTCCAGTTCCCTCTTTCACATCAAGATTCAAAATTCCTCGCTCCGTTTTAAAAGGTGACATAGGCAGTGTATCCCTCATGAAAATATCTCTGACTCTAGGAACTTTCAACACTCAAATAATGTTTGAAATCATGTTGTGTGTTATGGTTTAATGGGTATTATTTTATTGGTGGGTTAAAGTAGAGACCTTCTTCCCAAGATTTTTTTTTTGTGAAGATTTTTTCGCTGTGATCAATCTTAAACCAGATCCCTTTTTAGCTTCCATTGCTTCATTATGTCGCTTCGTTTCTGCTATAAGTTTATCATCAGCTTTCTTCGTATTGACTGCACTAGCTATGGCAGAAGCTCCTGCCAGAGACCCAGCAGCGCCTAGAGCTCTTAGGATAGCAGGAATTGAAAAGATGAAGCCTCCTTCTTTTGCTTCTTTTGTTGATACAAAAGAAGTTTTAGTTTTCTTACAAATCAAGCAACGTCCGCTTTTTAATGTTTTATTATTTGTCGTCGTAACATACTGAGCATGCTCAGTATCAGTCTTCTTTTGACATTTTACGCAATACATCATTTTAATAAGATATAAATCTAAAAAAATTGTTAAATTTTTAGTAATTTATATTCATTTTTTCACCATCGGATTGTAATTGAATTATTCTGTCTGAAAGAATCAGAGCATAAGCATGTGTGTTATCAGGAATGTTATTATTGAATTCAGCTTTAATCATCATATCAATAAGACTGTCCTTAAGACGCTCATTTTGCCGACTATATCAAATACGAAAATCGGATGTAAAAACTTATAATCTCTATATGCAACTGTACAATTTGTCTGTGATGCATAATCTATCATCATTTTATAAACTACCGCATAATTGTTACTATCAAAATCAATTTGTAAGTTTTGCTCAGGATACCTTTCGTTATTTAGCTGGATATATGCATTCTTCATATTACAGTGATCAAACAGCGCCACGTTAGAAAGTTGTGAATTATCTTTACCAGTTTGAAATGCTATAATGACGTAACGAGGTCTTTGGGTTCCCGAACTTGGTGTAAGATTCCAATCCAAGAACTTTTGATTAGGACTCATTATTGTTTGTTCCAATTGTCGATTCATGTATGCAATTGATATTCGAATTTTATCTTTTATTTGACGATATAATTTAATCTTAAACTCATCGGAGAGTTTATAAGCCGTCATTTTCCAAATTAGTCTTTTGATAGTGATTTTTCCATCGCCAACTTTATATTGCTGATTTGGATCTTTATCGCTAGTCTTGAACAGAGCATTTGCATCATCACCTCTTCTCAGAGTTAAGTCATGCTTGACTCCATAAATCACTTTGTTATAATTTTCATAGAATCCGAAAATATGTTTCAAGG